ACATGTAAAGTTGTATTATCTTCCTGTAACTGAATATTATCAGACCCTGTAACTGAATATATCAGACCTATTGTCATAATCAGGTAAAAAAATCAAAACATAAAACCTCAAAGCTATGCACCAATGCACTAGACGCAGCGAAGGGGAATATACTGAATTTGCCATGCTTTGAATTTGGAACAGTTCGATTGAATTTTCAGGAATATAAAATTAAGCTACGAACAGTAAAGATTCTGGTCAGACTGCACAGATGTGATGTGCAAGGTGTAGTACCCCTTTACTGATGGAAAAGGTTTATCACTTCCGGTCCATGCAGTTTAACATCTAAAATGCTTTTTATAGATTGTTAATATCAAGACTGCTGGGAGAAATTATCGAATAAATTGCGTGAAATTAATGTTTCATTCGCTGTTAAAATAGTTTATGAACAAAAGGCAAAGCACCAGTCTCAACTTCCAAAAATTACTTAATTGGGCATTATTTATTATTTTATTTATATGTCGGTGGCACCTAAATGACTTGCCAGGTGAGCGTTGTAATATCATATTCTTGAATAGGCTGATCTATTTCATACTTTTCATTTGAATAAAACAGACATTGAAATAGTCTAAAAACATAGGTCTACTTAATGGACGAAAAGAAAATATTAATTGAGCATATACAATGTACAAATATATTGTTATAACAGTATTTAACATACATGCATTGTGTTTTCTTACTTTTATTCCCTCATTTTAGATGTACCCCCACTTAAAGTGATGTTAAGAGACCTATCTTCTCCTTTGATAGCTTAACCTTCCTAAATCACATTTCCGGGCAAAAGCGGATATCTGAGATTACTCATAAAACAAATGTTGTAATATAATTTATTTAATTGAAATATCCACTCAAAAACTTTTTTAAATATGAGATGATCACGTGGTGATCACGTGGTAAGAAAAAAACATGTTTACCTTCTAATTGTGTCTTCTTCCATGTGACTGCGTCTAAAGCTAAAAGAATTAAAAAGAATTAAATATTTGTATCTCATCAAACTGCGTATGTTTGCGCCTTTGAAGATATTACATTTTTTAAAATGCACGCCATGATATGATCGTATTTTTTTAAAATATCTAAATATCTACAACCTATTTGCCAGCTTAAATTACAATATTTGATAATTTGACACTCGTTTTGTTATTTAATATTCATTATCAAAAAAGAAACTTGTTCTTAAACTTACCAATTTTAACGGACATGTCTTCGAGGACATCTGGTCGATCTATTGCTAGGAGACACGATCTGAGATTCATCAATGTCGGCAATGGATCTTCCTCCAGTGTCAGCCATTTACTTAGTACCTCCTTCGTCTTGAACATGTATGGCGAACGAGATATGTATTTAATGAACACGGGTTCGAGACCAATCCATTCAGCCATTCCCCGATAGTCTTTCAGTTTATCATCCGGTGACATGACGTCACTTTGCGGGTCAAGGTGATAAGACATATATTCTATTGTACTTGGTTTCAGACAACTCAGCGAAACATCTAATAAAAGGGAGGGTATATCTGTCGCCGTTTTCAATCGATCCTTCAACTTTTCTAACTTATTTAATACTTCTATACGAACAGTTTCATTTGAGGGATCCCCACCTCCGGTTGCCCCTTCATACGGCATGTTACTTTTTATAGCATCGTGTACGTTTTTACTTGCATCAGTTTTCACTTCAACAGTTTCATTTAATTTCTCAGTAAGGTTAGACGCTGCTGTTTCAGCCTCATTTGAATCTGAGTTGTCTGTATTTCCAATATCACTTTGATCAGCAAGGCCGTCTTTGTTTTTGTATGATACTTCTTGATTTTCCGTCTGCCCTTCAGACTGCTTCCCTTTATCATCCATGTTAGCTTTATTGTCATTTAACGTTTCATCCACTTCGTCAATAGGTCCGTGACATTTTGTCCCCAAATGTGTGTCACCTCCTGTTGCCATTTTGGATTTTACAAATTCAAGTCGATTATAAATTGAAACAGAATGGGGATATTTGCGTTCAGAGTGGCACTCTGTTTCAGAGTTGGTAACTACACAGTGTTGCTCTATTTCCGGGTCTTCGGGAGGTACCTCTGTTTCGCATCCCATGTTTTTTTAAGCTGAAATATATAGATATACATACATCAAAACTCAATGTATATGACAATGTAATTAGAAAATTTAAAAACAAATCCCAAATATAAAACATTTGCCTAAGCGACATTCATGTTAACGACTTAAAATTGTTAAAAGCCAATAACAAACTGTACAATCACCTTTGATTATATCATATTAGAGTATGAACAACTTTTCACGACCATTTTTCAGAAATTTAAATCCCGAACTATCCACCTTTTTATCGTATCATGCGGTTATATATTTTCAAAATCAAGGTATTTCCTTTTAATTTTACTTCCTATATTTACGCAATAATAACAATAAAAACTTTCCTACTATATTCTTCCTCATCTAAAACGAATATATCATCTCGGATTCTCGTTTACAATTAGCCAGATATGTATTTGTTACCCTGAATAAACTCTTTATAGAATATATAGGTGTCAAGGAAGAAAATAATTCACACTGAACTCTACATGAATGCTTCATTAATGTCACATTATGCCTCAGAAATAAACATTTTTTATTTCTTTAGAAAGGTCTGATATTTGTTGTAATGAATTTAGAGCGTTTTAGATGTTAAACAATTGCAGATAATAGCATTGAATGTGCAGCAATGTGTTCTTAAGCTTGCAAAATGTTAACAACGTAGTATTTCGACTCTCATACAAAATACTAACTCACTATAATTATACCCATTGCCAAAAAGCAAAATAATCGAAGTAATTAATTGTTTGGAAACAGTTATAAGACATCACAAATAAAAATGAAAGCATTTCGGGTGCTTAATGGGCCTTTAAAGAACAGACAAATGCCCCAGTTACTAGAGAGTGTTACAAGATAAAAAAAACACATTTCTGAGAAATAGTACATGACACGTCTTTTTACGGCACCACACAATTATGCCCAGTTATTCCAAAAATCCATCCTTTCATAAGAAAGTTTTGACCAAAACCCTACCATTAATTCAGACGTACAAATACGACATTGACCTTTGACCTTCTTTCACGTGACATATCATAATCACACACACCAATTTTATGTTCATATTATGGCATATATATCTTTAAATCAATCCAGGAATGGCAGAAACGTTTGGTGGACACTACCACACATGCACTTTTTATGAAAACATTATATCATGGCATTGGTCTCGAGTGAGGCTTTTACCTTTAAACTAAAGTGCGACACGCTGTCATCATGTTAAACACATAAATGTCATGTTAAGTTTAAATTCCGACCATGGTGGACTGCAAGCGTTGCTGTTAGATACGAACATCAACTGATGTATTTTTAGGGGAAAATCATTTCAAGTCTAAGTGTGACCTTGACCCTGGATGTTGCATGCGACAAGCCGGCTTAATGTACTATACATTTCAAAATCCATCTCTGAATAGACAGACAGATAGACAGACAGAGAATTGAAACACATTTCGGGGGCATAAAAACTATATGCCACATTTCGGGGGCATAAAAACTGCTATCACTTGAATTCATCTTGCTTGATCGATGACTTATTTTACGTTGGTATGTACATTTTATGTATAAATAGATGATAATTTATGTACCATTGTATGAAGTTGTTTTGAATTCCAACTAGTAATTTTCAAGTTATACTCCGGACAAGGAAAAGTAACAAAGGGCAATAACTATGAAATAAGTCAAGATGGAGCTATGGTTCTTGTGCACTTCACTTCCTCTTAATGTGCTTGACCATTGAATGAAGTTGTTTTTAATTCCAGGTGGAAGTTTTCAAGTTATGCTCCGGACAAGGAAAAGTAACAAAGAGCAATAACTCTACTCATACTGAAGATAGATTTATGGTTCTTGTGCACTTCACTTCTCTTTATTGTGCTTGACCATTGTATGAAGTTGTATTGAATTCCAACCATTCGTCTTCAAGTTATGCTCCGGACAAGGAAAATGCAACGGACCCCGCTGGACCGACCACCGGGTAACTACTATATACCTATAATACTACTTTACCTAAATTTACTTCCGCTTTTGTATGTACCTGGGAATCGCCATAGAATGTTCATGCCTCGGTGTTGAGCACTTATTTACGAACAAAGAACGTAATTTAAATTGTTCCTTGTTGTGGCCTCATGGAAGATTGATATCTTGTTCAGTTGTTTTTATTTGTTTGGGTCGTCAGACCAAACAAATAATGGTAGCGAAATTTCAGACCCTGATGTTCTTATTTGCAAATGCCGAAAGTAGTTCAAACTCCTCGAAGCAGTTACTTCCCTTCATAAGTACATTAACGCCGAAAAATTAAGGGGATCTCACTGCGTAAAGATTGTCAAATGACAGGCGCATTAATTTTCGTAAAGAAAAAATAGTTCCTGATTGGTCGAAGATTTCTAATATTGTGTTATTATTATAGATATACATGCGTATATTCAGCTTCATGATTATTTACTTCAGTGTTAAACAATAGGTTTACCGTGAACAAAATATATTGAAATTAATAAGGGTTACAAACTCTAATTTAGAAAAAATTGGTATTCTTCAGGCTGTTATGTTAAAACTCCCCGTGGTCGAGTGGTTTACACGCTCGCTTTGGAAGCGAGAGGTCTGGAGTTCAAACCACAGTTCAAGCAACTCATGTTGTTGTGTTGTTTTTTGTTTTTTTTTGTTGTTGTTTTTGTTTTATTATTATAATTGTTTAAGCCAAAAAAACATTGAATTGAATATCAGTGTTGCAATTAGTCTTATAGCCAATTTACTATAGCTATAAACACTGGAAACAGCATTGGTGACACTATACAAACAAATTGGTTTATTATCTCACAACCTTCACCTTTCTTACATTGTGAGACCCAAACAAATTTAGCGCCTTCTGTTCCTTTGATTTATTATTATTATTATTATTATTATTATTATTATTATTATTATTATTATTATTATAAAATATAGGCCTTATTTGACGAAATCATAGATGACAATAATTTCATATTAGCTATTAATTTTGAAAACAGCTTGTAAATAGATTGCTAAAATGTTTAAATCATAATTAGTTAACCGCTATCGCAACCTCATTTTCGCTGCAAGCTCCGTTCTTTTATTATTTTTGGCACGGCCGATTAACGAACAACGTAATCGTATGGAATACCTAACACTGTCCGGAATTGCGTCCGATTGTTGGACTGCCGCAGACTGACAACGCTGTCGAATGACGGATACAGGTACGATGTGATTTTTAAATATTCAATGATATATTTACTGTATATTATATTTCAGATATAATTATATTGGTTTTAAACGCCATTGCGTAAACGTAACATTAAACGACTTATGGCAAATTCGTAGATATTATATTTAAATACATTTTCCATTGGCTGCATGCCTAGTGGCAGTCATAATGTCTGAAAATTCCCCTAGTTCAAAACAAGGAAGTTGATACATTATATTAATCATAAAGGTGTGTAAGACGATAGGTGTAAAAAAACCAGCCGAATTAAAAAGTAAATGCATCAACCAATTAGCGCAATGATAATATTTACGTCTTATGCTCTATATAAACCATATAAAGACCCACATTAAACCTAGAATACATGTTTAATGTAAAGCACATGGCCAACTAAAATAACTGCAACAGTCTTTCGGATGAGATTTTAATGCGTTTTATTTTCTTCCTTATTTCAAATAAGAAATATCAAATATCATATTTCGTGATTATTTAAATTTAGTAACTCGTTTAATGTTTTACAATTTATATATCTATATTCTATTTTCCGATTGAGATTTTTGAAAAGTATGTAAACACATATTTCATTATAACAGAAATCAAAGTCGATTCCGTATTTAAAGATATTTGGGCAAAATGGACAAAACCTGCCAAATTAAAAAAAAACACTCAACAAACGCTTATAAATCACACTAATCTATGACTAGGAGATACATGTAGTTTCATTGATAACCAATCCTAGTTGTAATTTATGTATTGAAATTTTGTTCGTAAATTAAATATTGTTTAAACCCAAACCAAATCTATGAATACATGTATATATACGGAGTTGCAAAAGAATGTGTGCACTTGATTATTTTAATTATTCAAGAATACTATATCAAATTTTGTCTAAATACTCGTACATTGACTACACGACGGATTACATTGAATATTGAAAGTTGATTATTATCAGAACTTTGGTTACGCGGTTGATTAACGTAAATGTTTGAGAGCGTATGGACCAGACGCTACGCCATATGGATTTGGGTTTGAATGATGTTCCATTAGAAAATTCAAGTATTCAAAATCGCATTTACAAGCAGGCACACTGTTGCAGTTTATTTGCAGTTTTTATTTTTCACCCTTCAGCTGTTTACGCGTAACCAAAGTTCTGATAATAATCAACGTTCAATATTCAATGTAATCCGTCGTGTAGTCAATGTACGAGTATTTAGGCAAAATTTGATACCAAATTCTTGAATAAATTACAAGATAGATGGCTTCTACAACATTTGTAACACTCCCTTCTCTCTACATCCACCAATGGACTCAGTTATTCCATGAATCCATAATTACCAATCACCACGTAGTTGGTGATTCGATCATTACATGTTATTCTCTCAATAACAGAACGTACTTGTTCCGGAATATACGTAATAGATATGTGATAAGATTATTCTATCAAATGGTAACATCCCCGTCTCCCTACGTAGACCAGGGGACTCAGTTGGTTATTCGCGTAAAGTTCGTAACGTTCCAACTTCCAAGCAACCAGAAGGAAACTGATAAATCGAACTTTGCGTGTCTTCTCTTCAAAACAGAAAGTAATTTTAGGAATAAATGAAACGGATATATAACAAGATAAATGTGTCCTGTAACAAAGAAACAGCCATGTATCCTTATGTCCACCAGGGGACTCAGTTGCACTAATCCCCAACTACAATCCAGATGCGTGTTGATATTTCGAACTTTGTATGTTTTCCCTTAAAAACTGAATGTATTTTTCCAAAATATATTAAACGGATATATGAATACCCAACTAATTTTTGATAGGTAGCTGGGGATTTACACGAATAACCAACAGAACATAAACTATCAATTAAATTCATTTGCCTTCAATTGCACTTTTATTTAAAAGAAAAACTACATGCAAAGCAATATAGTTGAAACAATATAGATAACAGTAATGAAATCATGAGAAACTATATACTGTCTGAAAGATCAATCAACAAGTATTTCTATCTTGAACTAGCATATAATCAATCTGTTTGAAATCAGTACCTAAATAACGCTACAAATAAGTACATGCATGTAAGAAATATATATAGATCTGAACTTTAGTCAAATTGAGCATATAATATGACAGAAAGTAAACTTGGTCATAATCGGCAAATTTGCCTCTTTCTTTTAATTTTAAAATAAATTAAGCGCCAATACAATAACACGGCGTGTATTTTCCGATAACATTGACCTGTCACTGATAAATCTTCGGAAGTAATCATGGTCATTTTCCTCGAATTATAATGGTCCAGACATTTGTTTTAATACAACTTCGGCATACAATGTACTTCATTAATAAATGACCTGTATTACGACCTTATTACCCCGGGGTTGCTTGTTCAAGTACTCAATACAAATGAATCCTTTTTTATTCATACACATTAGGTTTTCCCCGGTATTTCCATAGGGTGGTTTGGTGGATAGTTTGTCTTTTTCTGTCTTAATCCAAGTATGAAGTTCATACTATCAATAAATAATAAAATTTAGTCAGCAATAACTAAGATAAAATGAAGCAAAATGTGATTTTCTGAATTTTCATTTAGTCAATTTAAACAAAAATGATTCGACCTAGATTCGAACTAAAAACCTCTCTAGCTTCTGAGTCTAGAACATGATCGATAACCTAGAGTGACGCATTTTAAAAAGTACATTTACTGTAGTGCCGCACTATTATGTTCATAATAATCTTCTTGGAATTTACAAAGCAGCCGAAATAAGGTCGATGTAAATTCAAATTGCAAAACACTGTCAACACACTATTTTAAAACAAAAGAAGGTACGGAATGTGGCGAGGTTTGCCGAATTCAAGCGAGCTAAGACTGAACGCAAAGAGGTTCCATGATTACCAATAAAAATATGACAGGCTATTTATGTTATACATGCGTGAGAATGAGTATTTTTGTAATATATAAGTAATATTCACTACAACAGTTACAAGTTTCATATTGAAAATGTTTGGAAATCCACAGAGTTCACAAAAGCTTAGGTAAAAACAAAAAATGATTAAAAATCTACTGACTGAAAGTGATTTGAGTCGGTGACAAAATGCGCTCATACAAGACGGCGTGGTAAATTCTAAACAGAAAACATACAGTGAACTAAGCAGTATCCAAACCACTTATGGTATCAGACACTCGATAAGTAATTGTTTAATAAGAATTCGGTTGAAGCAGCGTAAATCCAAACTGAAAAAAACAGAGAGCAATAGTTTACTAAGTTTGTTATAATGTTATGACATCTATGTTTGATTATAGTTGGACATTAACGCATCTGTTTCTTGTAAACCATTAGTTGCAGCATCACATTTGACTTCTTCATTAACATCCTTACTTATCAAAGTCTCATTTTCTGATTCATCTGACTTGCGTTTAATTACCTTCATTTCATATGAAAAGCCAGGTTTAACTGTAAGATTCGTCTGTTTGCTCTCCCCATTAGTGTCCAATGTTTTGTTACTGTAAATAGAATCTTCAACGGACAAATCAGCTGAATAATATTCACTCACATTCGATCTGGCACTTGTCGAGCGATTCTTTTCTATGAGATTGTCCGTCTTTGCACGCAATACCATGTTTTCTGTTTCAGAGATATTCAATTCATCATCATTCTGAGAAGACGGTTCGGGTTTCAAATACAAGTTATCATTCAGATCGTTTCGTGTTAAACTTGAGTCACTCCCTCCGCACGCACCGAGTCCGCTTTCGCCAGAGTTTGCACGCAGCACCATACTTTCTGATTCACAAATATTAAATTTGTTTTTATTCTGTTTCGAAGGTGTTAGACACAAGTTTTCATTCAGATCGTTTTCCGTCAAATTTACGTCACTTCCTCCACATGCGCCGAGTTCACCTTCGTCAGAGGTTAATTTGTCAATACTGTCATCTGAAGGTTTAGCAGGTGTCTCTGTGGCATTGGCAGGCATCATTTCAGTCATTGGCGATTTTGTTGTTGGTGACGGTGATAATTCTGCAGCTGTTTTTGTTGGTACTGCTGCTTCTCGTGATAATGATGCGGTTGCTGAAGAACTCTTCGCTTCACTGCGACGAAAGCTTACCGATTGGGGAATAATCTTTTCGCAAATTGCTTTTTTGATCTGTTTCAATAACTTCCACTTCGCTTTTTTCTCCTTTTCTTTCTTCCTTTGCATCTCCTCCTCTATTTTTATTCTCTGCATTTCTATATCCTCCGGTGAAGGCAACATCTCGTTGCCAGGAGGTTCGATAACTTCAATAGGACTTCCGGGAGGAGCTATATCCTCATCATACGGTGGATCTTGTAGATAATATTCCGGGTCTTTCATGACCATTTTTTCAATTTCCCCTTTTATCTCATCAAGAAGCTCTTCGCTTCTTACCTTTTCTGCTAAAAGGCAGTCCGTAAGTACCTGCCACGTATGTTGACGGGTTCCTTTCCGGAACCAGCGGATACCGGCTATTCCTTTTAGAACATTTGGTACGGTTGTGACATTTCTTGTTAGATGGAAAGGTATCAAATTGCCGTTTCCAGTACCTGAAAGAAAAGTTGAATAATTTTTTATAATCAAAATGACTGAGGTGATGTAATAAGAATTAGTGGGATTAAATACGTTTAATTTCAAACGTTTATACAAATTGTGAACCTAGTTAAGTTCTTCAAAAATATTTGTGCTATATCTCCTACAGAAATTTTAAAAGGACCAATCAGAATTCAGTATCAAAAACGAAATCTTCTAAACGTTTTTTGCTTTGATAAGATTGTCTGTTATATATAAATATATATACATATCTAAAGGAAAGTACATGTATTATCAAACAACTGAAAAAATATAATTCTTATTTCTATATTTTTTACGCTAGAAGGTAGGTGTAACTCTTAACCCAAACTCTTGTGGAACAAAAGACAATTCACTTAAAGTGAGACTAAAAAGTGTTGGATCACCACACTAGATACCGTATTCTGGTATATATTGGACAAGACTCTTGAATGATTAAATGCTTAAATCTCGACTTTTCATCCGCCAGAATGCTTTATTCATCTCTTCACACCGATTTATATACGATCATGATTGACAAATGTAAGAACTGGCGGGAAAAAAAAGCGTCTACAGGTACTGCTCCAACAATGTAGTCGCCTTTGTCGCCAGAAACGCCGGCCTGCTAAGCAGTACAATATGCAAAAGGTCAACAGTAGACTGCCAAACTTTATATTTTCATTTTGATATTTTCAAAATGGTAATGGATTTTTGCAATAAGGAAAGATGGACTAGTTCATTTAAGAAACGAATCAAGTTTGGGTTTAATAACAGCAACCTTACCATGGGCAGCGGCGTAGTTGACTGCAAACTGACATATATTCGAAGCGTAGAAATACTCTGAGAGCAGAAATATCACCTTTTTATCACACCTAAATGTACAAAATAAAAATGCACTGACAAGACTGCAAAGTAAGTTTATTAATGAATTAGTTATTTAATTCATTAAAGTCAATATCAAACAGCATTTTAACAACATTATTTGAATCAAGACAATAAGTTTTGATAAATAAAATATATATATATTTAAAATAGTTTCCGTAAAATCATTTACTAGACTATAGAAACAAACGAAATATAGCATTCTTTGAAAGTTGGTTCTTTATTAATAGGGACCGTTACCTACATTTCATGTGTATGCTTACATTGCCATAAAATGGGTATATCAAAAGTCGGTATGCGAAAGATGTAGCTTTTTGTGGTCTCTATAGGAACCAACGTCTTTGACTGTATTCTAATCAACATCAACGAAAGATTTAACCAGATAAAATTTTTCTACTAAAATGTCCAGCAAGTTACGGTAGAGCATTGTAAATGTAAAGATCTACTTGCCTTTCATCAATTACCCTTGCTGTCGTATCCAACACATATTTTCCTTGCTTTAAATCAAACTGTGGCAGGAAAAACAATGCGTTTCTGTACGCTGTCTTGTACAGTTTGGTGATCACTTGAGCCATCAGCTCATCTTCGTCGGCGTAAAGCAGGCACGCTGTGTACATAGTCTTCTTTCCGGACACAACTAGAAAATATTGCAACAATTTTGTGGTGTGCGTTATATATACATGTATATTATATAGAGGATATTGAATGTGTGTAACTTCAATACTGAATTTATTGAACTGAACGAGATAAATAAAATTATGTTATGCGAGTCTTTGGCTTATTCAGTAATGAACTTACACGGATTTAATATTCTATTTATCGCAAACCATTAGTGAACGGTATTGTGCAAAACGACTTATTTAATTTCAAAAAAATAACATTTGACTTATATGCTCGTATTTTCATTTTTTTCGCATTTTTTGTAAGTGACAACTTCGTTTATGTGAGCATAGAAAAACTCAAACCAACCGAATATGGCACATTTTATGTTCCATATTCGGTTGAAAAGTGGGCCATATTCAACCGAATATGTCACACGTCTGAAGAATTAGAACCGAATATGTCATGTCCGTGACATATACGGTCCGACAGTGCAATACCATTTTTATGGAGTCGTAAAATTGGCACGGGTATGTGATAACACAGCTTATTAACATAACGGGTTTAATGGTATATAATTAACCTACTGGTACGTATTTAACCAAAAAAATAACGTCATGATGTCATCAACCCAAGTGGAAGACGTCTTAAGATGCCTATAGTATATTTTGATTTAAGTTATTTTAAATCTCATGATGCATGACAGAGTTATTGGCCGGACATAGCTTTCAAACATACGCACGCATGCACGGACAAGAGTAACACTATATCCCCCTTGCAACTACCATGTCGGGACACAAAATTAAATTAATTACAAAAAGTATAAGAATCATGGTACATTGTGCAATTGCCATGATAATTGGATTCCTCTTCTATTCCAATAAGCTAGCAAAAAGAAATGTTGGAAAGTATATTGCAGAGAGTATTTTTCGTATTTGACGTCATCTAGTTCAATGACATCATATATCTGACGTTAAATGACTTTGTTTTTGTTTGTTTTGTCTTTGTTGTTGTATTTTTCTCAGCAACGGTCACATCTTGTATACATTAATGCTCTTGGAAGCTTAGTATTAGATTAATAACAAGCCATTGGATCATGAGACATGAAATAAACTTTCCTTAGAAATGTGTCTTAGCTTGTCACAGGCTCGCTTTGTACTGGTTTAAGAGTATATCAGTATTATTGCAATCCCTTCAGTACTTTTATGTCATTCTTGAATTTCGCCAGACAAGGAGAACACGAGAAGGAAAAGCAAGTAATAAAATTTGTTCGCTCGTGAAATTTTTAAGTGCAAATCAATTTGGCATTTAAGATACTTTTAGAAATAACTAAATTCAAGTTTATACAAATGATATTTTTATTATTATCAAACTGTACATAGTTTAAAACAGCAACAAAATATTCGTGATAATCTTCAACAATGAAAACTTAATGGTAGTGTATATATTACATCGGTACATAGATATATGCATAATCAAAAATTTAAACAGGTAAAATATAACGCATTTAATCATTCAATAAAACAAACGATACGTAAATATTCTAATGAACAAGTTACATGTAAAACTTTTTGTCTGTATCTCTCAATCGCAAGGTTTTTACAATGTTTCACAATATGAGCCGCGTCACGACAAAACCAACTCAGTGCGTTTGCGACCAGCATGGATCCAGACCAGCCTGCGCATCCGCGCAGTCTGATCAGTATCCATGCTGTTCGCTGTCAGTTTCTCCACTTGTAATAGAGTTGGTAGGCGAACAGCATGGATCCTGATCAGACTGCGCGGATGCGCAGGCTGGTCTGGATCCATGCTGGTCGCAAACGCACTATGTTGGTTTTGTCGTGACACGGCTCATATCTTTATTTAGAGAAGGATACATACAAAGTTGACACAATAAGAGAATATGTATACTTATTTTCAGTACGGCCTTCTAATTTAAAAATAACAAAGAAAAAGTTACTGTTACAAAAATAATTAAATATATGAAATGTCATGAACTGTTATCATGAATAAAACTTGCATGCAAGATAATTGATTATATAACTTCATTCTGGAAACAGTAAGTTAATTATCTACTACACAAACTTTTCAATCTCCATCGTTTCGAAGGGTTAAACCCCTCTTTTTCAAGAAACAGAAACAGAAACTCCTTTAAAAAGAGAGGTTTAACCCCTCGAACTTTGGAGATTGAAAAGTTTGTTTGATTCAATATCTGCAGCTAACAAAACGTATAAATTGTATAACTCTTTATCATTTTATCAAACATATAAGAAGATTGAAACAAAAACTGGTATAATGTATATAAGTGATAGACAGATCTTCTACAACTATTCATTTTTTATAGTTAAATACAACAAAAAATTAAACATATATACATTGTATCAAAATACTGCATAGTTTTCTTCCTGCCTACTGTCTATGTTTCCTTGGATTTTTTATTTCTTGATCTTCAAAAGATTTTAGATAATTCTTAACTGTTACCATGCTAATCATCTTATTTTGTCCAATGTTTAGGTTTAGGATTGAAAGACGGATGTTAAAGCACCAAAAATATCCTGGCTCGTGTAAGACTTGAACTCACAACCATCGACTTATAAACATATAAACACAACGCTATTGACCACTGAGCAAAAAAAATCGAATCCCTGATGCATCTGTCAGAGAAATGGTATACATAAACAAATCTCATTTATTTAAGCATATTAGGACACAGAAACTGTATATAATAAACAAAGGAATGTTAACAAGGATATCATTTTTTTAAAATTAACATATTAATATAATCTGTAAGGTAAACATTTACGTCGTGTGGTAAGATTTGCATTTCATTTATGAAATAGTATACCTAACTTCATCTAATCAATAAATTTATACCAAGCAGACGCTGAGAAGGAAATTGATTTTGAAAATGAAAATGGAAAGGCTCTCCGGAGAGCTTTATTCGTTCTATATGCTGTGTAATAAAGCTCTATCAGAAAAAGAAATGAGCCGCGTCACGACAAAACCAACATAATGGGTTTGCGACCAGCATGGATCCAGACCAGCCTGCGCGCAGTCTGATCAGGATCCATGCTGTCCGCTTACAACCATATTACAAGTAGAGAAACTGATAGCGAACAGCATGGATCCTGATCAGACTGCGCGGATGCGCAGGCTGGTCTGGATCCATGCTGGTTGCAAACGCATAATGTTGGTTTTGTCGTGACACGGCTCATCAATCTTCTTTAAAATAAAAAAAACCTTTTAAGTACCTTTGGCTTAAAGGCACAATATGCCACAGTAATGAGTAAATCTTTACTTCTTTAAAAAGGGCAGAAATTTAATAACGTTTACATAATTGTTTTACGGCATGTTATTTGCTTGTAATCTGGAGAAAGTTGCAATCATTGTGAAATAGTTTGTCATACATGAAGCAAAAAGTAATAGTTTGACTTCAATACAAAATTCCGAATCTCTACAACTGTACTATGAAAAGGCAACAAATAATAAAGATGAATAATGCAACTGGTCAATGAGTAACATTTTGGAAACTATATAAGAACAACAAAAATAAAAAGCTTTTGAAAAATAAGAATAAAACATTCCTGAGGCATAATGGTCTTTTAAGATTAATGGACAAAACTTATTATATATGCATCAGTCCTAAACTTGGTTAGCTACCACACTTTAAACAGCACTGTGAAAAAAGGAAATATATACAACATGTGTTGAAACATTGACCTTACAGTTTAAAAAAAACGAAACAGAAAAGGTGTTTTAAATGTATTATGTATAACAAAAACACCATTTTACATGGAGGAAAATATATCCAATTCAGAAATGTGTAGTGTTTGAATATATTCATGTATCAGATTTACTTTGATCTGTTATATATCTAAACCCTTCACCCCGGCTTCCATTTTTGGAACTGTCGATCATCAAATATTGCAAAGATGTGCAGGCATGCCTGGCTCTGTACTGGTGGCACAAGTTACCAACAGGTTCGAGCAGGGGAAGATTTAATACGTTTTTAGATATCACATATTCATAATATGGAAATCATACATTACACAAGTACAACAGTTCAAAATCATGCAGTCAAAACACTGTCAAAGATCACGTGACATTAAATAAATATTGTCCATAATTACCACTTAAATCAAAAGTAATTGTTTAATTTAAACATTCTTTAAATGTATTGTAAAGCAACCGACTACCGGTATTTATGGTACAGTGTTACACTAAATAAAACAACGGTGTTCTTGCTATTTGTCTTTTTCACTAAATTCAAATGTTTATGTCTACCTTGCTTTAGAAAAGTATTCCTTGTAATGTGTGGATACAATTGGGGTTAAAATAACAAAAAAAAATAAATAAAAAGCTGTACAGCAATTCATGTACTACCAAGTGACAAAATATAAAATGGATATTCATTTTCTTCTGGGTACCTCTATCGGTGGCTGGTGAGCAGAAGACGGTAGAGGTGCGCGTCGCCTTTCACGCCCTGAACCAACCACTCGCCGGATTATTTTCTTTCTCACATAATGTCTGATTCTAGTCAACTTTGATTTCTTTTCAACATATCCTGAAGCTTCAAGTGACGACAACGATCTCGACATTAAACATTCGTCCTCTTCCGGGCTGAAAAGCCTTGCAGACGGGTCATCGCTGTTTTCTACTTCAGGTGGTGGATCATAAACTGAAATTGGATCACCAGGCTGCGGCGTTTCTTCGTCATAAGGTGGGTCAGAAAGATAATATTCACTATCTCTTTCAATCACGATTTCCATATTTTGTTTAATTTCTTCTAACTCAGCTGCCGGCATTTTCCCGCCGAGCAAGGAATCTGTTAGCATTAGCCATCGCCGTTTTCTGGCAGCTTTCTGAAACCATTTAATTCCAGCTATGCCTTGAAGAACCCTTGGCATATGTTCGTTTTTGTTTGTTAAATTGAATGGAATTAAATTCCCTTGTTCGGATGCTAAAAGAGAAAAACCAAACAAATAATTTATATGTTAAATTTAATAAGAAATAATACATGTCATTTCGCCAAACTTATATAAAAACTGACATACATTTGTGTAATTCAAAACTTCAAGTATACTGTTACATCAAATTCATATATCATATGTTTATACACAATGTACCTATGGCTCGAACAAAATATCTGGTTTATCAACCACCTTCCCAAATTGAAATAAGCAAAAAAGAGCAGGTGTTGGTGGTAGGAAAAGAGAGTCACAGACATAAGATAACAAAATGCAAGGAACAGAATCCGGCCTATCTTGTATCTCGCTATATAGATTATTTATGAACGAGTTTGTACTACCGTGAAATAATCATATCACAAGCTGTTAAAAATGTGTAAACAATAATTCTTACATGCATCTATCTGTCTACAGAAGTTGACAGTAAATCTGCAAACTGTTGATGCAAAGAAGTATTCCGATATTAAGAAGATAACCTTCCCGCCACACCTGCAACAAAAATTATGAAAAATACTGCTGGAAGAAAAACCTATTAGCAGAGCAGAATGATCTAGCAACCAGTTTTTTAACCACTCTAAATATCTATAGTGGACCCAGGGTCTTCCAAATAAATTCTATTATTTGGTCTATTCTATTTAAAAGACTGTAGTGGACATGTCCATTTTTCAATCTCGACAGAACAATTCAACATTTTATAGAAAAAAGAAGCATTGACTGTAAAGCAAACATTGCAGACTATAATAAAACGGCACGGAAGTACCGACTGATCTAGCATGGTCTGCAATAGTAGCATTGGTAGATTCAGTTAGGCCATAATGGTAAATGTAAAATATTGGATAACAGAACTGTAACCAGGCATTTGATTTGTCAATTCAGTGTTGTTTTCTCATAGTAGAGCCCAGATTATAAACTAAGATACAACTTTCAAACTAGCGATCAAGCAGGATTTACAATAGTTATACAATAAAGCATACTGGCATATGTTTGGTACGTTTTACTGCAAGGGTTATATAAGAAAGTGTTATCAAGTACTAGAATAGTGAATAATATTTCAAATAATTAGATAAGTAATCCTCACCTCTCTTCTATTACTTGAGCAGTTGTGTCATGTATGAATTTCCCTTGTTTCAGATCGAATTGTGGCAGGAAAAACAATGCTTTTGGATAAACTGTTTTGTATAACTTGGTGAATATTTGTGCCATTCCCTCGTCTTCATCAGCATAGACCAAACAACATGTATAGTTCGTCGGTGATCCGGAAACAACTAAAACACGGGCCATTATCACCGGTTACTCGTGTATTTTGTCAAAATAGCGAATACTAGTGGCATAATGACTTACATATACAGTTCATCACCTGATAAAAACTTTATCTAGTACAAGTAGGTTACATATTCCATACAAAATAAGATTTAAACTCAAATGTCAATATTCTACTGTGATAAACTAAGTGAATGAGTTTGTGTAACGAAGACCTTGATTCCTGCAAAACATTGTGAAGATGCGGGACTCTAATAGATTCTAGGACATTTGACCCTTACCCGCCTGATAAGTTGCCCCCCGCACATTTGCCTCTTTTGCAGTGGCGGCCATTTGCCCCCACGTATGTCTTGAAAGAGCGGACATCCCCCACCATCTAACAATGTATAATGATTATGATTGAATGCAGTCAAGTATAACCCCGACCGGGATGGCTTTCTATCGTTTGGTAAAATCCTCCCAAAATGCCGCACTCTGCCAAATGGAAATATCCCCCGATATTTTGGCGTCAAAACAAATCCCGGGCAGTGCAGACATTTGGTAAACCCACGTCTCATACTCCCCCCCCCCCCCCCCCCCCCGAACTGCTTCGGAGGTGGGAGCATGATTTCATTAGACTGGCAAGTTACTAGTATTATATTATAAAATGTTTTATGAAGACGAAATTCGGTTTGGAAACAATATGATTTTAGATTATAAAAAGATCATACACGTAGTGTACACATCAACCAATATGTCCAGTCTTTCAATGAAATTAAATAAGCCATAAAGCCGAGAAGTTCCTTTTCAACGGATTATTGAAAACGCTTGAACTTTGAACGATAATCGAACAGTGATGACCAATTAAATACCCATCTAATACTAGTATTCGAGAAAAGCAATGGCTAAAATCCTGTAGTAGTCCGTAGAAGCCGGGCATGTAAAAGAAGAACTTGTACATATATAATATATTTTTTACTCACCATCATGCCGTGTAAGCTGCCATGATGTATCCTCGACACGGGCTATTGCTTGTGTTTGTGCTGAGAAGATAAAAACATGTGATTACTTTAATAGATATTCACCCGTATCTACATCATCTTTTAACTACGTATTTTTTTGTTTTGGAAATTTGTTTAGCAATAACATAATAAGTAATAATTTCAATTAATTTGAACATGTACATGAATAATTGAGAATATACTTAGTAGAGATCGGCATTTTATGATGGTATAATCGTGATGATTTGGTATAATTTGTCACGTTCAATATCATATAACGTATTGCGTAAGTTTAATGTTTCATTCGCTGTAAAAATAGTTTATGAACAAAAGGCAAAGCCCCAGGCTCAACTTCCGAAAATTACTTAATTTGGAATTATTCATTATTTTATTTATATGTCGGTGGCACCTAAATGACTTGCCAGGTGAGCGTTGTAATATTCATATTCTTGAATAAGCTGATCTATTTCATACTTTTCCTCTGAATTAATCAGACGCTTGAAATAGTCTAAAAACATAGGTCTAGTTAATGGACGAAAAGAAAATATTAATCGAGCATATACAATGTACAAATATATTGTTATAACAGTATTTATGAACCGCCACGCGAGGAATAACAAACTATCAAATTGTGTTTAATGGCCATACCATACTATAAGGTATGGCCTCTGTTTATTGTTTTAACCAACAATACTTAAACATGTGCAAAGAATAGTACATACATCAATATTATGCAAATTAATACAATATAGAAAATACACATGTAGGAATAATAATTAATCGAGTTCTACTATAATAGTAAGAAATGTGAGGGTTTCGTAAGAAAAACGCACTGATAAAGTAATTAGCTAGCAATACAATAAAGCATGGACATCTTAGGGATGAGAATGTATATCAATGCCTACATCAAAGAATTCACAGTTCAATGTTACTATTATCCTGTTTGATGATACCAATATCTCTGCAGGGGTACTGAATTAAGCATGAACAAAGTTTTATGACCCTAACTTACTTCCAAGGCATCTTGCATCTGGCATTAATGACCATGACAAATTACTGCCAGACAGACAATTTCTCTATCTTCCTCTTTCATAACCTAAGTGCTTATGCTATTTAAAAAGATATATTCACACATTAAGTAAGTAAACATAAATTTATGGCGGTCCAGTCATTAAATAACTTTTTTTTTTTTTTTTTTTTTTTTTTAGAATGATGTTAAAGACTAATTGCTCAAAAAACAATTTATTAAAGCCTGCGCTAAAGCCCTAAGGACTCGCAGAAATTATAAAAACTTTTGCTAAAGCTCAAAAGCTCACAGAAAAATACAAACCTGTGCTAAAGCTCAAAAGCTCACAGAAAAATAAAAACCTGTGCTAAAGCTCAAAAGCTCACAGAAAAATAAAAACCTGCGCTAAAGCCCTAAGGACTCGCAGAAATTATAAAAACCTGTGCTAAAGCTCAAAAGCTCACAGAAAAATAAAAACCTGCGCTAAAGCCCTCAATGACTCGCAGAAAAATAAAAACCTGTGCTAAAGCTCAAAAGCTCACAGTAAAATAAAAACCTGCGCTAAAGCCCTCAATGACTCGCAGAAAAATAAAAACCTGTGCTAAAGCTCAAAAGCTCACAGTAAAATAAAAACCTGCGCTAAAGCCCTCAATGACTCGCAGAAAAATAAAAACCTGTGCTAAAGCTCAAAAGCTCACAGAAAAAAAAAAAAAAAAAAAAAAAAAAAAAAAAAACTGCGCTAAAGCCCTCAATGACTCGCAGAAAAATAAAAACCTGTGCTAAAGCTCAAAAGCTCACAGTAAAATAAAAACCTGCGCTAAAGCCCTCAATGACTCGCAGAAAAATAAAAACCTGTGCTAAAGCTCAAAAGCTCACAGAAAAATAAAAACCTGCGCTAAAGCCCTCAATGACTCGCAGAAAAATAAAAACCTGTGCTAAAGCTCAAAAGCTCACAGAAAAAAAAAAAAAAAAAAAAAAAAAAAAAAAAAAACCTGCGCTAAAAGCCTCAATGACTCGCAGAAAAATAAAAACCTGTGCTAAAGCTCAAAAGCTCACAGTAAAATAAAAACCTGCGCTAAAGCCCTCAATGACTCGCAGAAAAATAAAAACCTTGTGCTAAAGCTCAAAAGCTCACAGAAAAATAAAAACCTGCGCTAAAGCCCTAAGGACTCGCCGAAAATATAAAAACCTGTGCTAAAGCTCGAAAGCTCACAGAAAAATAAAAACCTGCGCTAAAGCCCTCAATGACTCGCAGAAAAATAAAAACCTGTGCTAAAGCTCAAAAGCTCACAGGGAAAAAAAAAAAAAAAAAAAAAAAAAAAAAAAAAAAAACCTGCCGTTAAGCCCTCAAGACTCGCAGAAAAATAAAAAACCTGTGCTAAAGCCCAATGGCACACAGAAAAAAACAAGTATTTAAGCCTGCGCTAAAGCCCTAAGGACTCGCAGAAAATATAAAAACCTGTGCTAATGCTAAATGGCTCACAGAAAATAAAGCTGTGCTAAAGCACAATGGCTCAAAGAAAACAAATATAATAATTTGAATAAAGTTAAAGATCTGTGCTTACTGTGATATGCACAGAAAGTGTTCCAAACAATTGAACATTATAATGGTAGACATTAAGTGATTGTGATCATTGTCTGTTTATATTTCACTTTGGAGTTTTTTGTTGTTTTTTTTTTTAAATTTGCTAAAGACTATTTATGGCTTATAAAAATTTATAAAATTTCTGCTATAGCCCAATGGCTCTCAGACAACAATAATTAAGTTAATTGTCTCTGTAAAGACTATACTTTGTAATTATTATCTTCATGGATAACATAAATGATATTATGAATATAGTGACTCTACAAGCTATAATATTCTATTCTATGATATTCATATTATTTATACTGGCTTTATTCCCTTCCACCTTCTTATCAACAGACAGGTTTTATGATGAACTAATATACCAAAAAAAAAATAAAAATTAACAATACTCCCCTACGACCCGATCCTTGATTACCGATCTAACAGCTGACATGATGGCATGTCTCAAGGACCTGTAAAAGCGTCGCTGTCCATTGTGGTTAAGGTGGATTCCATCTTTCCGGAATATGGGAGTCTGTGAGTAAAACAGCCTTCTGTGCTTCCAGAATCTTGCTTTATCATGCATATCCAAAAGAGTTTGCAGGATTGATACTGAATGCAAAGCGTTTGTGTTCAAATAAATCTGACGTAACTTTCGTTGGTCGAGCACGGGTGAATATTTCGCACACTACAACTTTCTCTACAGCATACTCCTGAATAATTAGAGCTGTAAATTTCTTTCAATTCTATTGGCAATGTCCAGAGAAGATTTTACTGAATCGACGTCGTTTACCTCCTAATTGAAGAAGTACGAATGTTTGGCTCAACTTGTCTCAGAAAATCCCAAAATTTTGAGCTGAAATACGTAACTGCATCACCATCACATACTCTAAAGCCACCTATACCAAAAGTGGACCACTCTTCCAAATCGTAGTTTGCGGGATATGAATTTTGTTTAAAGTCTTCATGCAGCCGACGAATAAACTGTGACCTAAAACAGCCACACGTATTCCAGTCTGAATACGACCCAATGCCATATTCCCGTTTTGACTCGGTGACAGTCGGCGATATAAACAGATAAAGAAAACAAAGTTTTTAAACAATCGTGGTAATCACACAAAGAAACAAATATATCCAACCTGGTACTTTCCAGATTAAGTTTGTGTGTCTTATGATATCCACAAATGTCCGTAAAATTAGCTATATAAAATCACTAAATATCAAATCACTTTCTCTAAAAATTTTTGCTTCCCTCTTTCTACGCTTCTTAGTAATTGCTAACTGGTTCATCAAGACGATTTTATGTAGGGCTATTATCCGTTCAGCCGTCTCTACGAACGGCTAAAACCCGTACCTCCCGTGGCGGCGCATAAAGTTCGCTGATGCTTTTCGGCATAGCTTATATTTAACATACGTGCATTATGTTTTCTTACTTAACCTTTAATTCCCACACTGTAGATGTGCCCCCACTTAAAGTGATGTTAAAAGACATATTCTCCTTTGAAAACTTAACCTTCCTAAATCACATTTCCGGGCAAAAGCGGACATTTGAGATTACTCATAAAACAAATGTTGTAATATGATTTGTTTAATTGAAATATCCACTCAAAAAATTTTTTAACTATGAGATGATCACGTGGTGATCACGTGGTAAGAAGAAAAATGTTTACCTTCTAATTGTGTCTTCTTCCATGTGACTGCGTCTAAAGCTAAAAGAAAAAAAAAGAATTAAATATTTGCATCTCATCTAACTGCGTATGTTTGTGCCTTTAAAGATATCCCATTTTTTAAAATGCACCTCCATATGATCATAAAAGTTTTTTTTAAGTATCTAAATATCTGCAACCCATTTGCTAGCTTGAATTACAATATTTGATAATTTGACACCTGTTTTGCTATTTAATATTCATTATCAGAACAGAAACTTGTTCTTAAACTTACCAATTTTAACGGACATGTCTTCGAGGACATCTGGACGATCTATTGCCAGGAGACATGATCTGAGATTCATCAGTGTCGGCAATGGCTCTTCCTCCAGTGTCAGCCATTTACTTAATACCTCCTTCGTCTTGAGCATGTATGGCGAACGAGATATGTATTTAATGAAAACAGGTTCGAGACCAATCCATTCAGCCATTCCCCGATAGTCTTTCAGTTTATCATCAGGTGACATGACGTCACTTTGCGGGTCAAGGTGATAAGACATATATTCTATTGTACTTGGTTTCAGACAACTCAGCGAAACATCTAGTAAAATAGAGGGTATATCTGTCGCCGTTTTCAATCGATCCTTCAATATTTCTAAGTTATTTAATACTTCTATTCGGACACTTTCATTTGAGGGATCCACACCTCCGGTGGCCCCTTCATCTGGTATGTAACATTTTATAGGATCGTCTACGTTTTCAATTGCATCACTTTTCACTTTAACAGTTGCATTTAATTTCTCAGTAAGGTTAGCCACTGCTGTTTCAGCCTCATTTGAATCTGAGTTGCCTGTATTTACAATACCACTTTGATCAGCAAGGCCGTCTTTGTTTATGTATGATACTTCTTGATTTTCCGTCTGCCCTTCAGACTTCTTCCCTTTATCATCCATGTTAGCTTTATTGTCATTTAACGTTTCATCCACTACGTCAACAGGTCCATGAGATTTTGCCCCCAAATGTGTGTCACTTGCGGTTGCCATTTTGGAATTCACAAATTCAAGTCGATTATGTTCAGTGTGGCACTCTGTTTCAGGGTTGGTAACTACACGGTGTTGCTCTATATCCGGGTCTTCGGGAGGTACCTCTGTTTCGCATCCCATGTTTGTTTAAGCTGAAATATATAGATATTACACACATAAAATAAAACTACATGTAATGACAAGGTAATTATAAATTTTAAAAAAAAATCCAGATATAAAACAGTTGCATACGCGACATTCATTTAAACGACTTTATTAAAAAAGTTAAAAGTACAATAACAAACACTACATATCACCTTTGATTATATTATACTAGAGTATGAACAACTTTTCACGATCATTTTTCAGAAATTTAAATCCAGATATATCCCAGATATAAAACAGTTGCATAAGCGACCGTCATTTAAACAACTTAAATAACAAAGTTAAAAGTACAATAACAAACAGTACATATCACCTTTGATTATTATAATATTATACTAGAGTATGAACAACAGTTTTACTTTTCACGACCATTTTTCAGAAAGTTAAATATCGAAATATCTCCCATTTCATTATATCATGCAGTTAAATAATTTCAAAATCAAGGGGTTTCCTTTTAATTATACTTCCTATATCTACGCATTAATAATCTAAAAAAAAATCCTAACCTATACTTCCTCATCTAAAACTAAAATATTATCTCAAATCCTCTACTACAATCAACATTGTACCAGGACGTTAATAATTTACACAGAACATTACATGAATGCTTCGTTAAAGTCACATTATGCCTCAGATATCAATATTGTTTAATTCTTCAGGAAGGTCTGATATGTGTTTAATACTATTTTGATAACGAATAAAAGAATTTTAAATGATAAACAACTACAGAAAATAGCATTGAATGTACAGTAATGTGTTCTAAAGCTTGCACAATGTTAAAAAGTACATTTTGTAGTTCATTTTGACTTCCATACAAAATACTAACTCACTAAGTCACTATAATTATATCCATTGCCAAAGAGCAATAGAAGCAAAAGAAAGTTTAGCTACATGGTCAATTAGTAAATCTTTGGAAACTGTTGTCACAAATAAAAAGGTTTTGAGAAATAAAAATGATAGCATATGAGGGTCTTTATGGGCCTTTAAAGAACAGACAAATGCCAAAGTCCCTCAGAGAGTGTTACAAGATATACAAACATTTCCGAGAAATTGTGCATGACACGTCTTTTTAGGGTACCAAACAATTATGCCCAGTTATTTCAAAATCCATCCATTTATAACAAAGTTTTGACCAAGCCCTACCATTTTTTCAGACGTATTTGTAAATAAGACCTTGACATTTGACCTTCTTCCACGTGACACGTCATCATAATGCACGCACACCAATTCTTTGTTCATTTTATGGCACATATATCTTTAAATCAATCCAGGAATGGCAGAAACGTTTGGTGGACACTACCATACATGCACTTTATATGAAAACATCATATCATGGCATTGGTCTACAAGTGAGGCCTTTACCTTTGCACTAAAGTGCGACACGCTGTCATCATGTAAAACACATTTTAAAAAATGTAAAGTTATTTTAAAAATTCGACCATGGTGGACTGACAGCGTTGCTGTTGGATACGACCATCAACTGATGCATTTTTTTGGAATAATTCATTTCAAGTTTAAGTGTGACCTTGACCTTGGACTTTGCATGCGACAAGCCGTCTTAATGTACTATACATTTATGCGGAATTATTTAAATTTCCATCTATGAATAGACAGACAGATAGATAGACAGGAAATTGAAAAACTACATTGGGGGGGGGGATAAAAACTGCTATCCGCATGAATTCATCTTGCTCGCTCGATGACGTCTTTTACGTTGGTACGTTCACGTTATGTATAAATCTATGATAAATTATGCGTTACGTTAACGTAAACATGCTGTGGCGTATGCTCAACGGTGTACAATGAAATCAGCTCTAAAATATGCGTGGGAACAGATAATTTATGATTGATGAATGAAGGTAGTTAACATGCAGGGCACAAAAGAAGTTTTTAATTGTTTACTGTCATTCCTTTAAGATAATTTAAAAGCATTGATCATGGACATTACACGATAAACACGCCTTTTAACGTCTTCCCCCCCCCCCCCCCCCCTTTTTATTGTCTCAAATGGTGATAAAATGCCTTATTAAGCCCTCAACACTTGTTTTTGTTTGCGAAATGTTGTTTAAAAAAGTGACCATTTTTTCGGCGCGCCACCCTATCCAAAAGAAGATACACCAGGGGGTTGCCAGAAGAAGGAAGTGCCCCCTTCTGTTTGGGGGGGGGGTTTAAAGGGGTCGGCATTCCCCCTCATCGCCAAGAAAATTTAGGACCTGTGACAGGCTAAAAATGACCAGGTAACGTGTAACCAACGCTGAAATAATATATTTCAAAATAGAAATGTTGGTCTTTAGTTTTATTTGATTAGGCTAAACTCACTTTTATCGCATGTTTTATTTTAGCCTAAAATGTTATTAAAATGTTATTAAAATGTTATTTAAATGTTATAATAGAATCCAACAGTGGAATATTAAAAAAAAATATCAAAATAACGTTTACAACCTTTACCACACTGCTCTTTCTAACCAATACACAATTCATCTGAAATGTTCTTCTTTGAACCAATGCTATTAAATTTACTTTATTTATTAAAGTTACTCAGTACACAATTTTAAAAGTCCTTTCAAATTTTACATAACAACTTCATTATACTGTGATGGTTATTCAGAATGGTCGAATGAAAAAATAAAGTTATTTTACTTCCTAGCTACATGAAAATATATTAAAACATTTCTTCCTGGTACAAGATTATTATGAAATAGTAAGGTTTATTTGTAACCCAATCTGACCTACTTTATAGATCTACCGCCCACTATATATTGAAGGAAGGTAAATATTCCTTTTTTTGAAAGCGTTAAACTTTTAGTCGGAACACCTCGGGCGACTTTAAAGTTTAAGGCATGTTGTTCGCGAAAGCCGATTTGTCACGAATGTTCAGTATTAGATCGCCGACGGGAAAACCCGAACGTGTTTAATGTTTCATGTAAATATTTATTAAAACCCATATGTCCATTTGTTTCTATGGACGGTGTTAGAAGAATATATCCTATGTCAACAGTATGTATCTAGAGTCATTACAAAAGTTTGTTTTTAAAAACTTAACTAAGAGGAAGTATCTAAGATATTAAATATTGAATAAATCTGGGGTGAAATGTATACCTTCAACGGAAGAGTTTCGTAATTTACCTGTTGTGATTCGGTTATACGACCACTTCATTTTTTTCTTTGAAAATTAAAGTGAGAAGTAAAATGGATAGAACTTCCCTTACGTCTAGAGATTATTATGAGTCATATGATTTTGTGATTAAAAATACTCATTAAATATGAAAATAACCTGAATAATTTCATGCCTTCATGACAGGAGTGTTTTAGGTGAAATAAACGTGACAAATGGAAAACGTGTTAGAGAAAAGTAAATCTCTCGCTTTACAGATTAAGGTTATCCGATTTTTTGATGATGTTTTAAGGTAATTTATATTCATGAACAATTTAACTGGATATTCTAAAGATTCATATAAATATAAAATAGCTAATACATAATTATCTACCTGAAAACATTGAATTAAATAGCGTATATACCTTAATTTTCTTCTTTTAAGTAATGAAATCTTTAACTTGATGTATGCCCATCACTTTATTCGATATTCTTTTAATATCTTCAATAACTTATACAAATCAAATTTTACAAGAGCGCTTTTACGTCCAGAAGATGAAAACCGCATTCATATAATAAGTGTAGATGATGTAATTCTAAACATAATTCTTATTTTCTTAATTGTTTATTTTTTTTTTTTTTTTTATTATTTTTTTTTTTTTTTTTGAAATTCATTAATGGCGAACTCCACCTAATATATGCCGAAAAGCAGGGTTGTGGAAACTATGCAGGAATTGTGCAAAAGTGCAAATATATGAGAGAAATGAGCTACACGTTAAAGTAAGACCAATATTTTTAATAAAAAGAAATAAATTAGCACATACGGCCGCTATGACATTATGCCTCAACCTTCGTATCATTAGTTACAAGATCATTTGTGAGAACGTCGACCTGCAAAAACATGGCTGTCATATCGAGTATAAAGTAACAATACTATATTATTGTGGTTGTTATACATATACGGCATTCTGAGACAACTGGCCAGCAAAAGAAACAGGTATGGTGTGCTGTCGCATTCAGTGAATTACTTGAATCAAAATTAATAGGTCACAATTTTGGCAATTTTATATTATTTAAGAAAATGATTGGTGGCATGTCCGGGGTCCATTCTCTCAGTGCCTGACAAAAGGTGGATGGACCCTTATTAAACTTACAATAAACACGATATGGTGTGCTTTGAACAGGCACTTTTTATGAGTATAACATTAATAGTTCAACAAATAACAAATATAAAAAATAATAGCAATAAATTTCAATATGGGTTTTTATACTAATAAATAGTGACGAATGACAAAAACCGTCCTAAAGACGTCAATAACCAAGGTAACAAGGTTGTCATTCTCCCAATTGATCTTAAAAAAGCAAATACCTTCCTGGAAATTCTTCTTATTATGTATAAATATAAATATAGCCTTAAGTTATATTTGCAATGATATACATGCATTGGTCCCTTTACTTACCGTGTAGTACGTTTTTACTCGTTTCCGTCACAGATTTGCACAATCTGACCACAGGAACTTGAAATTCTATCAATATTTATGATTTCAAGTTCCTGTGATCTGACGTTATTCCTGCCCGTTCCGTATTTATGAAATTTTCTAGCTACGCCACTGGCTTAAAGTCCAGGCATTAAAATGTCAATGTTATGTATGTAACGCTTTAGGCAAGTAAGCGTTTATTTTAAATATACGTACAAAGAAATTAGCACATGAAATAACTAATAACTATGTATACTGGTTTACTTATTCAATGTTTCAGAATATATATCAAACAACCATGCACCATGTTTATTGAAACTAACGAAAGTTGAACATATAGTTTATGACAAAAGAGTTCTACATAGAAAATAAAACATAATTTTACGTACGTACCTTAAGGCTTTTAAACTAAAACATTGATATAAAGTAAGCCTTAAACAAAATTCACCTCTTGATGATTTATGAATTTCTTTAAAAGTAGGTTAAATATATCATAGTTAAGAACAAAATGTCATACCTGTGTAACTCTCCACATTATTGGATTGATAAAAATCCGAAAGAAAATCCCCTTTTGATAACCCGGAAGTTTTTGACTGTATTTGTATTGGTCGATATTTTTGTCAATATTGAATTACCTCCCCTGGTTATGAGTTATTTATAGTGTTGCGTTTTCGTTTTGTTATGGCAATCGCAACTACTCGGCCCTTTCCGTCAGTCTTCGGATAAGGAATTATAGATAATAGCCGAGGCAGTTCCGAAAGGTTTCGGTGGCCGACTCGGACACTTACGATTATATATATTTTCTTTATAAGAAGAACACGGAAAAGATAGTGTCACATATATACTATAAACATTTAATATCAAATTAGTTTTTCATCTTTATATGTTTATTATCTGCTATTTGAGCCTCGTTGTGCTTTTAGTCGTGTTTGTCACCTCGTGCATGGAAAGAGAGAAATAAATGGGTTTAAACTATTCTTTTAAAGATGTATTTTGTACAAAAGTACCTTTTATGATTTTGAAATTTCAGTACGTCTTATTATAAGCCTTTTTCTCCGAACACATTTGACATTATGTTATTTTTCAATTCCCGGAACAAGAAATTATAAATGCGTTAAAATGTGTGTTCGTAAATTAAATCATCTGCCGATAGGTTTCTCATAAATCATCATAAATGAAAAAGAGAAATGAGAAAAGTATATATCTTATCTCCCTTAAGTTAATTAAGGGACATTTCGTAACCAGATATTCTCATTGTGCTCCTTTTTTTTTGAAATACAATCTTAAAACTTTATTGCGTGATCACGTGGTTGCTGCTTGTCCGTAAAGAAAACCCCTTCCTAGTTGATACCATATTAAAACAAATACATTTTCGATTACAGCACATTCTGGCAAACAGTATGCGTTTTTATCCCTTAAAATAATAAAAATATAGCTTCTTAAACTTTGGAACATTTGTGTTTTTTCGAACTGAAGAATGGCCATTGTTCCACAAGACATTAAAGTAATTAGGGCAATACTCCACAGCGGCAATGCCAATTTACCGTTCCCATCATAATCGACAGGGCGGCACATGCTTGACTTGCATTTGGAATAATCTATCCAATGATAGTGATGATGACCTCGGACTTGACGACTTAGAATAAATATGAATCAAACTGGGTTTTTTCTTCATTTTTCTTTTTCCAAAAGCCAAATATTTTTATAAAGACCCACTAAATAACATAATTTTTTAAACTTTATTGTAGACAATATATGTTCCTTAGCCGGTCATATTTTAGAGTATGAGTCTTATAGATAAGTTCCATTTAAAGCAGCCGAAAAAAAGATGATTCAACATGGATGTGGATAACACTAAATGTCCTTGGTTTGCCTTGAAATCCACCATATCTAATGCGAATATTCGTTTCAATAAAGATATTATCTTAAGTATGGCTGGAAACTTCAATAAATAATTTTCATTTCAGCAAGGCTAAAGATATAAGCTACTTAATTAGCATAACGTATGTAATTATTTTAGTCAAAGTCACGATATAAAATTGCTTACTAATTAAATTGATAACTAATTAAATTCACAGAATCAATAGTGGCACGTGACATATCTGTCCAAACAATTAAATCAGTGTCCATCAATAGGGCATCTAATCAGACTAAAATGAATGTAAAAATATGAAATATGTCTTACAACAGAAATTTCATCCTAATCAAGTTTCTACAAGGTCTTATTAGGAATCATAATGCGCATGGCACAATGAACTTTGAGCCGACCCGTGACATACCAAGAGAAAAAATTCCTCTGACTTGCCCTCAGAGCGTGCACGTCGCTGAGAAGGCATGGGACATCGGCAAAAGATCTGAAGACTTTGGATGGCGAAAAAGACCAGAACTTGAACTGCGGACCAACTTCCGGTGTCCTGACTAATGTCGAGGAGAGTGACCCTACAAAGTATGCAGAGTGGATGAGGATGGTGCACTAGCTAGGGTGCGTGAGTCCCTAGTACGAATGACAGGAAAGCCTACTTGTATATACAATAGGTTCCCTTTCAAGGGAGTCCAAATATTAAGTATCATTTAGTTAATTACTGAATTCAAAATTCTTAGGTAACGTTTTGGTAGATAATAACATGGTGACATGTCCGGGTCCGTACTCTCATCGAAAGGGCTCATTAAACCTAGAGCACGCACACACGCGCGGACACATACATACATGCCGAGGGACGTGGCCCTACAAAGTAGACAGAGTCGATGAGAACGTTAATCTATAAATCTGTCCAATAAATAGTAAATATTTGTAGGGTTTGAGAGATATGTAACATATTTACAAACCCATTTTCTTTTTATCTAGTCTACCAAAAAGTGTTTCAAAAGCTGTAAACAATGGGCTTATGGGACGATTTTATAAAGGATTTCATATGTGAGACTGGGTCGACTTAGAAGCAAGGGTGGGGATTTGAAAAAAAAAATTAAGGTCTTTCTGATAATGTCTTACAATACAAATCTAATAAGATCTAGGCATTTGTTTGTTTGTTGTTGTTTTTTTTGTTGTTGTTTTTTTCTTTTTTTCGAAAAATTATATTGAAATAAATCCTTTTTTATCTTTTCCTAACTGTAAAATGAAGTGACCTATGGCATGAACTTATTTGACCGAAAGGTCGTGGTTTTTTAGCAAACTTAATTGTGATCTACTGGGCAATGCTATATAAAATATCTAAAACTGGAGTTTTTACATTGAACTGAAAGAATATGCGATGATTTGTACTACATTCGATGGTAAACAATGGAGATTCTATGAGATGGTGTTATGTACGGTGGCAAATAGATGGCATTATGTATGTTATATTTATCTCGTGCGCACGAGTTGCCGTTCGTTGGAACGAGATAATTAAGTGGTGCGCACGAGATACTATGTCGTGGCCACGAATTACTAAGTCGTGTGAATGAGATAATTAAGTGGTGCGCACGAAATACTATATCGTGGCCACGAGTTACTAAGTCGTGCGCACGAGATATTATGTCGTGGCCATGAGTAATTAAGTCGTGGGAACGTGATAATTAAGTGGTGCGCACGAGATTCTATATCGTGGCCACGAGTTACTACGTCGTGCGCACGAGATACTATGTCGTGGCCACGAGTTACTTATATATATATGAACTTTTTTTAAACATAGAAAATCCCTGGTTTAAGTTTTACATGAAGCATTAGTCTGTCCCATTTAAAATGGAAATTAACTTTTTCCTGGTATGAATTCACAAAACAGGGTTGAATAAAAGATAAATAAAAGATAAACCATTTTTGCAAACTTAAAAAAATAGTCACCCTCGAGAATTTTCAGGAATTTTCTCTAAAGTGCTTACTTTTTTGTAAAAGCAAAGTTTGATTTCTTCATGGAAAGTCTGTTGTTTATTTTTTGTAGCCTTTGCCGAAATACTCTTCATTTTGAAGATGGGCAGCAGAAAGCATGTGTCATGTTTTTAAAATGTACATGAAGTTCTCGGAGTAGTTTCATGATAATTCTACAAAGCTGGATCTACAAGATGTAACAGTTTAGTTGCAATGCATGATTCAAAAGCTTAAAAAAATACACACGAAGAACATAAAGTCACGTGGATTCTGTAAATCGAATAAAAGTTATGTTATGTTATGTTACTTTTTGTTGTGTTGTGTTATGTGATGTTATGTGTTGTGTTGTGTTATGTTGTGTTATGTTATGTTATGTTATGTTATGTTATGTTATTTTATGTTATGTTATGTTATGTATAACTGAGATAAAAATGAAAACATACCTCCGATGCCGTGAACTAGAGTATCCCGGTCTCCCTTACTTTTTAGAGATTTTGATGAGAGTTCAGAATGTAAAAAGGATCCTATAATCCAAGTGATAACCAAGTACTATTTAGTTTCACAAATTAAACGTTTCAACACTAAATATTTACTTCACGCCACTTTACGTCCCTTTGCGCTACTTTACGCCATTTTACGTATTTTAGGCACACCCTAAAACATTCGGCTATTAGTTTGTTGCTGTAAAAATGAAACGAACTAAAATCTGAAGTTTCTGAATTCTGGCGATTATTCAGATAAGTAACAAGTAAAACTTAGCGACTGAGTTTTTGACAAATGGAATAAGTGTAAAAAATAAACATTTAGTGTCCTGTGTTACTCGATTAAGACAATGTTAAGATTAAGAACATATTCTATACTCGATTTGCCGGTCACAATCAAAGTGCCCATAGGTAAACACTAATTAGTCATTTTACACACCTTGAAATAATTTCAACCTGTAAACAACACGATTTTGAGATAAATCATTGTAATTTGAAAATTCGAATCAAATATAATTCACCTCTTTGGATTTGGGACGGAATTGAAAATCAATAATTACGTAAAGTTAGTGCAAGACGCATAAAAGGTGAGAGATTGAGGATGTGTCAGATTTCAGAAAAATTTGAATTTGTATCAAAAATAATTCTGGTAATCAACAATAATAAAACAATAATTTTTAAAACCATACTATTTCGATGTTAATTTGTAAAATTGGATCTTTTGACAGACACTTGGGGTTTGGAGCTCAAAACGCCTTTAAAATCCAAATAAAATGCATATTTGTAGAACCTTGCATATGATAGTTAAATGACTTACCTATCTAGATGTCTGTATACCAGGTCTGGATGCACTAATATGCCTGTCTAATGAACGGATTAGTTTCACCTGGTCAATGTTGCCTGCAGCACCAATGGCTGCTTCTAGAGGAATCACCCAGAATCCCAATGGGCCCTATTGCCGTCAGGGGTTACAGCCAATCAAGGTTATGAAGCATAATTATACTCACGTACTCAACCTATCTCGTACCTAGGTCCGTGAGCACCACACTCCTCCCCATCCTATTTGAAGGTGTTGGTCCACCCTGACGACCTAACCAAACAGGCTCTAATTTCTGGGATGACTTTCCTGGTTCTAACCAGTACTGGTATTGCAACTACTTGCTTTTTTACAATTAGCACTATAAGTTACAATACCCCTCCCTAGTGATTAAGGTACCTATTCTACCAAAACCACAATTTGCAGATCACAGGTCCTATACCAATGAAACATTTAAATCTAAGATGTTTCGAGGCCTCTAACCACTGATCCAAAGTAAGCACCTACGGCTTAATCAGACCTGTCCACTGAGAGCAACAGCCTCCCCTCAATGCACAGCCTCAGCGCGATAACCAGTCAGTTGGAAAACGCGCAACGTGACCCCACCGATCATATCTGGAGTAGAACTTCTACCTTTCGGCGGACTGAAACATGGAGCTTTGGTCTCCAGGAGTCTAGAATACTCACCTTAATGACCGTCTCCAAATGGTCGCTTGACCGGCAGCTCACAGCAGTGAACTCCACACACATGTTCTGGAACTTCTCCAGCCACCACTGACTGATCCCAAGAGGTATACATCCAACTCACCTAGTGAATTGATCCACCATCACAAGTACAATCCCATGTACCCGTTCCATGGGGATTCTGCCTGGTAATCAATTGTCAAATGGCACTTCTCCTGCCAGTCAACTTACCTGCCTTACACTATGAAACAAGCAGTTTCACATCATGGCCAAAACCATACCAGGTATACTCCTCTTTAACTTGTTCCCTATTACATGTTACAACCTGATGACCTGAAGATGGCAGGCTATGATCATGAGAAATAGCCTCCTTTAGGTCTTCGGCAATACTTATAGAACACCCTAGTGCTTAGGGTCATCAGATCCAGGCACTAACTTGCCTCAACCTTACAATTGTTGCCTAGCCCAGTGATGACAATATACTTTAACATACACAATGTATCACAACTGGCAAGCTATCAAATTTACCCCTTGGTGACTGTTACACTCTTTGGTAAATTCTCTCCATCAGAGACTTTTGTTGCAAGGTATGGCTTGCCATTCCCATCATTGGTGTCAGATGGCTTTCAACCTTCAGACTCTTAGACAGTTGTGCTTCGCCTAGTCCCCCCAGAATATGATTTAATGTCAATTTCTGGTCTGTATTCCTTGACTAGATGCACAGTATCGTCTACCTCCTCAAGAAGGACCCCCAATTATTCTGGGCTCTGTTATTAATATATACACCTACCACAAGGCAATTCATCCAGATGTGTTCCCACATGGTACTCGATACAATGACCCACGTCCGGACTTGTGGCCACTGCACCCCTTTCCCATGCTCACAACCTGGACAGTGTTGCAACACATTAATATACCGAGACAGCTCCTTCAACCACCTCTCCAATTGCCATTGTGGCTCCCGGTCCCCCATAAGCCACCTCAAAATAGAATGGTCATTCCTTACCACAAACAGTCTATTTCCCAGACCCTCGATCAGGACAATTTCTTCTAAAATGCCCCTCCTTCCCACAATTGAAACACAAATAAGGCCCTTTCTTATGGTTTCCTAAACCAATAACCTTATCAAACTTCTGTTCCAACTGTTGGATCGCCCTCATTACAGTAAGGTTATCCAGGGTGGAAGATGAGCTAACCGATGTAGCTTCAACCGCAAAAACATCGCGATTTTCATCATCGCGCCGCCTAGTATCCCTTCTTGCCTTACCATGCATGGCCTTGTACACCTGTTGGTACTTTCTTACAATTTGAATTGCCCCTTGGACACTAGACGGGGACTGCATACAAACATGATGCCCTGCATCTTTGTCAAGCAGCCCTTGGCAGAAACGACTAATAACTTGCTCTTCAATAAATGAGACTGGCAAGCCCTTGAATGCTCTTACCGCCAGAATCAATAGTCTTTCTCCAAAATCTTCCAAAGACTCGTCAGGGTTTTGACAAGCCTGCTGGAATTGTGCTTGAAACGCAGCAGGTAAATCATGTTGCCCATACCGCGCTTCCAGCATTAAGCATAGACTCCTATATGAGTCTACCTCTTCTGTGTCATTCAAAATGACAAAGTACTCCATGGCCTTTCCTGTCAAACACCAGCAAAGACCATTGAGCTTCTCCCCCTCTGACCAATTAGAGGCCTCGGCAAACCTGTTAAACTTTAAAATAAAAGCTTTCCAGGAGCCTACCCCATCAAACGTCAGATGCCTTGGTAATGATTTTAATGTATCAATTAACAAGCTGGGCCTACACCTTTCATGTTCAGCCCCATACCCCCTTGGGTATGATGGTTTACCAATGTCGGCCTCACCATGACAACCCACATGTTGGATATTCTGTTCCTCTAGATTGTGCCAAGGATTTCGTTCCCTCCTAGAAGAGAAATCAATGTCCCTTGGGTTATACCTACTACTAAGATAAGGGTCCCCACAAGATGCATCCTCACCCGATGTAGGTTCCTGACCTTGTCAATCCAAGCATACATGATGATGGTCAATTTTAAACTTCAACGGTAATATAAACAACGCAACAGCCGAAATAAACATCAAGATTATCGCCGTTTTCCTCCATTGACAAAATCTTTCTATAAATTCAAACGTGCCAGTCGGCTATGAACGAAGCCATCAGATTATGTGGTTCCCAAACTTAAAAGCGCTGCGCATTTTGCACAAGGCATGTCTCAAATAAGATCCAACCTTGTCCAGATTAGCTGAATTGTCTAATAGCAAGTCTCTAAGTTGAAAAATAACAATAATAGATCTAAGCAGTTATATTCTGATATAATTCGGTTTATAGTTTTGGGACAAACAATATTTACTGGGTTTTAAATTTGGGCAAGGTACCCACGAGAATTTATGCTACCTGCGTTTACTGACCTGGCTGTGTTGTACACCTGTGACCTGGTAAGAACCCAGGGGTAAAACTCAATTGGCATGTCTAAAGACCTTGTTAACTATTTTTTCTTGTGAATCAGAGACTTACATTACAATATAACTGTGTTTGTGAATGAAATAAAATAAATGTTTCGGGCCTAAAGCGTCACATAGGTTAAGGCTCAAATGATGTCTGTTCTTTGAAAATTGTGTTATATGAGTATAAAACAAAGCAGGCATCAATGGCTGAATTTATAATTATTATTAAATTCTGGTAAAAATAAAAAATATGTCATTTTATTTCATACGTATTCCAAATCATACATTTACAAATGTTAATGATTTACAGGTGCACAAGGGAAATAGTGGTTAACCATGTGTAGTTTAACTGTGATAAGGGATAAGTATGGGAGGGGTCTCTTGATAGGGGGACGAAAAATTATGAATATGAAGGTGTCCAATTGTGCAATCTTGGGCCTTTTTATTGCATTCAGATGCTCTAATATTTTTCATAAATACCGGTAGACTGCAAACATCTGCCATTAAACTTGAAGGTCATAGTCAGTATTGTCCCTAATATTGGTCAAATTATCATAAAAAATCTTCCCTTGATCATATATATATATAGTAAACAGGTGCTGGATATTAATTTTATTCTTGATGATTGAGGGGAGATTATTTTATGATAATTTTGACCATAATTGGCAAGACAAATATGTCGAACGTCTGTGGGTTAGACTATGACTTAATCATTCATTCTGTTATAAACAACCATTAGTTTTTAGTTATTCATCTGTTGTATCTTATTTTAGATAAACTGATCAAAGATGTCAATGTTGTGGAAAGGAATCCCTGTGCCAGTTTTAGTTGCTATAATTCTTCTGATTGTTGGAGGTAAGAATAAGCTACCTAAAAAGTAGATATCTTTTACCACAATGTAATAAATGTCCAATAATTAAAGGGACTCCACTGAGGTTTTTTGACATGATGGGACTGGAAATATTTTTTGAGATTATTACTCTATTTGATGTAGATCTATACTTATAACTTATGTGCAAAATTTCAGATCATTAGCTTTTTCCGTTTTTCCAAAATAATTATTATAATAGTGAAAAATGACCCAAAATTGAAAAGTGTTTAAACGCTTTTCACTCGAATCGGACAGAGAATAGCACAAACATGATTTTCAATGTATTTCTTGCATATTTCTTAGTTATTATGCCCCCGCCATGTAATGGCCGGGGCATATAGTGTTACCCTGTTCCGTCATTCCGTCCTTCTGTCATTCCGTCATCATCAGTTTCCGTTCATTATCTTAATAACGGTTGCACATATTCAACTCAAATTTGACATATGGATATGTCATGAGAAAATACAGGTCAAGTTCGTATTTGGTCATGGTTCGATGATTTTTGGCAGAGTTATGCCCCTTTTACTTTGAAAATAATATGAAATTTTCAGTTTCCGTTCATTATCTCCCCCAACGGTACAACACATTCAACTCAAATTGGATATATGGATATGTCATGAGAAAATACAGGTCAAGTTCGAATTTAGTCATGGTACGACGATTTTTGGCAGAGTTATGCCACTTTTACTTTGAAAATAATATGAAATTTTCAGTTTCCGTTCATTATCTCCCCAACGGTACAACACATTGAACTCAAGTTTGACATATGGATATGTCATGAAAAAATACAGGTCAAGTTCGAATTTGGTCATGGTTCGATGATTTTTGGCAGAGTTATGCCCCTTTTACTTTGAAAATAATATGAAATTTTCAGTTTCCGTTCATTATCTCCCCAACGGTACAACACATTCAACTCAAATTTGACATATGGATATGTCATGAGAAAAATACAGGTCAAGTTTGAATTTGGTCATGGTTCGATGATTTTTGGCAGAGTTATGCTCCTTTTACTTTGAAAATAATATGAAATTTTCAGTTTCTGTTTATTATCTCCCCAACAGTACAACACCATTCAACTCAAATTTGACATATGGATATTTTTTTGAATGCCAAGGTCAAGTTCGAATTTGGTCATGGTTCAATAATTTTTTGGCAGAGTAATGCCCTTTTCACTTTGAAAAAAAATATGAAATTTACAGTTTCTGTTCATTATCTACCAACAGTATTACATATTCAACTCAAATTTGACATATGGATATGTCAAAGGAATGGGCAGGTCAAGTTGGAATTTGGTCATGGTTCGATGATTTTTTGGCAGAGTTATGTCCCTTTCACTTTGAAAATAATATAGATACATCTTAGGAATAGGCAGTTTAAGTTTGAATTTGGTCGTGGTTCAATGATTTTGGACAAACTTATCTTTCTTGAATATTGGAAAAAATTTTGAACTTTCAGTTTCAGCACTCATACTTTTGTGGAAATGTATGTAGCCATTATTTTGGCTACAAATATGAAATATGCTATTTTCAAAAGGATAAGACTGAATAATTTCAGTGCCTTGAACATTGTATGAAAATGGTTTGTGTTAACATTGAAAAGTTTTAAGGGCTTTGAACTTAAAATGAAAACAATAATTCGTGCAAACAAATTTGGAACTAAATATAATAACATCTGAAATTTTGGCTGCATGCGGGGGCATCCGTGGCATGATGACACATTTCTAGTATTTTATTTATATTTCTGTAATAAGTGCTCATGTTGGCCTATGTGAAAAATTAAAATTTTATGTTTTTAGGCTTATTAACCTCAGTGGAGTTCCTTTAACACTGGTCATAGACTAAAGATTTTACCTAAAGCACTAAGTAAAGTTTTATTTTGGCAAGTGCAATTAAATATATCAAAAAGCTGTCTTTTTTAGCGAAAAAGTTCAGCTATAAAGATCACTGTTGTATCATTGTTGTTTAATGTAGCCCACTTATTCAAAATTTTCAAAAAGGTATCGATATGAAACTTCGAATATTTGCTTATTATTAAGACAAGGTGCAGTAAGTTGTTAGACAAGGGGCATAATTCTAAAAGCAACATTTGGAGTTTTGTCCTTTTTTAACTTGAAAGTTTTAACAGACAAACGTGAACAAGGCATGCAGTGCTCTTGTCATTTGGTAGGTAATAACCATTTAAAAGACTAATTAGTCAATTGAAAACTAGGTAAGGCTTCTGTTATTCTAATTGTTGCTTAAATATTAATGTTGATTAATGCATTGTTAAGAATGATGTTCATCATGATTATGCAATTTATGGTATCAGTCTATTTAGACAGATGGCAATAAAGTTGCCATGTTGACTGTAATATTAATTGCCTTACTTGTAGCCCAAACCAATGATCATGTTATGTTTCACAGTGATAGACAACAATGGTTAATGATGTTTATGGATATCATAAGATACCATGTCAGCCAATGAAAATTTTAAAAAGTCATATGCACACAGTGGAGCACCTAAGGTCTTCCCCACCAGTAAAGCAGGAAAGTCGCCACATGAAAATATATTTTTATCACCAAAAAAAAGTGTTGTTGTTTTTAGTTTTAAATAAATGATATACGTAAGGAAAGTTCTTTCAGTGTTTAAATATATATTTCAGGACTTATTCACATAGTAGGTATAGCTACACCATACTGGCACTCTATCAGTATAACAAACAATGTGGTGAGAGATAAACCATATGGTCATCATGGATTGTGGGCAGTCTGCACAACACGTGGTCAAGATGTCATTGACTGCAATAGTCATTCAGATACTAAAAGTAAGGGTCAAAAAATTTTCCTGCTAATAATGTAAACGTTGTAATTTTTTAGAATAAAATTAGAACAGTGTCTTTTTAATAATAAATATGTGTAAAGAAGATCATTGTTTCTGAATAGTTAAAGTCAATTGGGCTATCTACTGCTCAGGGTTCTACCACCATCAGGTAGTTCTGATCTTAATTCTAATGTAATAAAGCAATCAAACTATTCTGCATAGGTCAGTGGTTCAACTCAAATTACAACATCTATGTGCACCTGATGTTTACAATTACCAAATTCACTTAAAGTTGGGGTGTTTTTTCTCAATCTTTACTATGATTGTTGGAATTAAACCGTAACCGAAGGTAAAACTGCTTTATTAAAGTATCACAGTATATGAATGAAAATTAGTTCTTATTCTTAGTGTCTAAATTACATGACTTTCAATAACCAGTGCTCAGATTAGATTTTTTTTTTAAATCAAGTGCTTTGAAAGTTTTAAGATGCTGTGCTTGCGTGATGAAGAAATGATTTTTTTTGTTGATATTTTTAACTTCCTGAATTTCTGTAAATATGTTTCTGTCAGAAATTCACTGTTATGAATTCATATCAATTGGAAAAAAAGTTTCATTTTTAACCAGGTTTTCCGAAGGAAAAAACTGGTTATTAGATTGAGGTATGTCGGCGGGCGGGCGGATGGGCGGGCGGGCGTTCGTAAACAATTTCTTCTGTGCGCAACTCCTCCTACATTTCTCAACAGATTTTGACTAAACTTTCACAGAAGCTTTGTCGTCAAGTGCCCTGGCACATATTGTCGGGTTTTGCGATTTGATAATATTTGACCTAATTGTGGCCCTTTGTTTTTTTCCTTATACAGAATATATAGTGAACAATTTCTTCTGTGCGCAACTCCTCCTACATTTCTCAACGGATTTTGACCAAACTTTCTCAGAAGCTTTGTCATCAAGTGCCCTGGTGCATATTGTCAGGGTTTTGCAATTGGTATATATTTGACCTAATTATGGCCCTTTGTTTTTTTTTCCTTATATAGAATATATAGTGAACAATTTTTTCTGTGCGCAGCTCCTCCTACATTTCTCAATGGATCTTAACCAAACTTTCAGAGAAGCTTGCTCATCAAGTGCCCTGGCGCATTTTGTTGGGGTTTTGTGATTGGATAATATTTGACCTAATTATGGCCCTTTGTTTTTTTTCCTTATATAGAATATATAGTGAACAATTTCTTCTGTGCGCAACTCCTCCTACATTTCTCAATGGATTTTGACCAAACTTTCTCAGAAGCTTTTTTATCAAGTGCCTGGCACATATTGTCAGGGTTTTGTGATTGGATAATATTTGACCGAATTATGGCCCTTTGTATATTTTTTCCTTATACAGAATATATACTGAACAATTTCTACAGTGCGCAACTTCTCCTACATTTCTCAACGGATTTTGACCAAACTTTCACAGAAGCTTTGTCATCAAGTGCCCTGGCGCATATTGTCAGGGTTTTGTGATTGGATAATATTTGACCTAATTATGGCCCTTTGTTTTTTTTCCTTATACAGAATTGAACAAATTCTTCTGTGCTGAACTCTTCCTACATTTCTCAACGGATTTTGTTCAAACTTTCACAGAAGCTTTGTCATCAAGTGCCCTGGCACATATTGTCGGGGTTTTGTGATTGGATAATTTTTTACCTAATTATAGCCCTTTGTTTTTTTCCTTATACAGAATATATATAGTGAACACTTCTTCTGTGCGAAATTCCTCCTACATTATTCATGTTTTACATTGCACATAGTTACATTGTTTGTTGCTTGTATTTGTATTTCAAATACAACATATTTATCTACTATGGTGATAATTGAAAACCTGGTTTCATGGCATTGCCATGTTCCTTGTCTGTTACTGTACTTACAACATGTTTGTTTTATTCAATAGGTGAGGTTGTGGCAACCCGTGCGCTCGAAGTTCTTGCATTACTTTTTGGTGCCATGTGTATAATCATTACTGGGTTGTGGTTTTTCTTGCGATTGGAGCGTCATAGGCTTATTTTGATGATATCTTCTTTGGGGTCAGGGTTTATATCTGGTATGTATAAACTGCTTCTGTTAACTCTTTTATTAGCTTGATTATTCCAAGAATTTTAGAATATGTAAGTCACATTACGGTTGGCTCATTACTTATGTAAGATTTAATCTGAACCACTTTATTGTGTGGTTCACTTAAATATCAGAAAGTATTTAATAAGGAGAAAACGGGTACTATTGGTCAGTATCTAAGAGCCATAACTCTCAAAATTGTTCCCCTTTGTAAACTTTGATTGTAATAGATGATACATCGTTCTTATTGTTCAATCAAGCAGTAGTAATAATAAAGCACTTTTGCCTGCAACAATAGTTTTTATGGAAAAAAACATTACGACTGCTAAACTGTTAAAACTCTACTTAAAATAGCAGGATAATATTTTGTTTTGGAACATTTTTATTCTGTTTACATACAATTATCTCATGTGTTAAATAACAGAGACATTCGGTGTTAAATGGACCATAAGGTAATGATAACAATACAATAGAACTGTTGATAAATTTTATCATAAGGTATTAATTTATACCCTTTAAAGCGGTCTTCAGCAGCTTTTCTAAAGATTAAATGAGCCGCGTCAGGACAAAAACCAACATAGTGTGTTTGCGACCAGTGTGGATCCTGATGCGCAGGCTGGTCTGGATCCATGCTGGTCGCAAACGCACTATGTTGGTTTTGTCGTGACGCGGCTCAAATATGTTATTTTGGGTAAAATGTTTTATTTGATTGTCAGATCATACAAATTAAGGTAGAAAATGAAATTTGGTGACAAAGAAAAATACACTAATAATATAGAAACCCAAACATACCTCTAATTTACCATCCGCTGTCAATATTTGAATCAGTAAAGGGGATGGTTTGTTTCCTGATCTTCTATTTTTAGAAACGAACATCACTTATTTGCTATTAATAGCACCTGGGACACTGTTTTGAGGAAGGCTAAACAGTGATATGATGCACTTTTCAAAGATAATTTTTTTTATCTTTTTTAAATACTTGAAACACTACAGAAAGGTTTTTTCCAACAGAAAATTAAAGCTGAGTGCTGCTTTAAGTAGGGCTTTAACCATTTAGCAATGATTTCAAGCATGCACTATTCACATTGGAGGATATATATACAAACATATTTCTTTTCTTACATATATTTTGAAATTATTCTTTTTCAAAATTTAAACTAGAATTATGTTAACTATAGACAGCAGATATAAAGCTATTTTATACAATTCTACACACTTCTGTCTGTACTTCATGGGCTTTTAATTTATATGAATAATCAGTGTTGAAACATTCTGTATATTTATTTGATTTCTCCTTTTCTTTCCTCAGCTTTATTTGGGTTCATAGGAATAATCATATACGCAGCAGACGTCAATTCCAACAGTCGTGTCACAGATGTCACCAGCGTGTATAATCAAAATCTGGACTGGAGTTTTGCTATGTGTGTGATATCATCTATCTTAGTTACCGTAGCAACAATACTTATTGGTATTGGTACCAGAATGGTGAAATGATCTATTAATAGGTGTTAAGCAATTATTTTTTATCAAGTTTGTTGCAACGCAAAATGAAGTATGGGAAAAATGATCTTTTCAAACGATTTGGTAACTCAGATAGCATTATCTATATTAATGTGTTGAAAAGGTTGAAAAATTTATTTTTGTGATTTTAATGTATCAATAGGCAGAAACTTCCAGACTTTAGGTAAAACAGTGATGTTTATTATATTTTTACTAGTATTTTATCAGGAGTTCCTCTGCTTTATGTAAATTTCTTCTCATCCTTGTTCTCATTTTATAAAAATCTATTTTTATCTTAATCTGAAGCCAACAAATTACTATCTATTTGAAATTTCATTTTGATTTTTTCCATTTCAACACTATGGTACTGCAAGTAAACCTTGTTGAGATAATATATCACCAAAAGAAAGCTGGAATGATAATGTTACGATTTTAATCAATTATAAACATCAGAATCGCTATCATAATTGCAGTAGGATGAATATTTAAAGTTTATTTTTGTTTTGACATTTTTTATAACAGTTGCAAAAATAACAAGCTTCCTAAATTTTAAGCAGTATCCTTTGTAAGTCCAGTAGCTGTCAAGAATTGCTTGTTACTGTCAAATTTACCACCAGTAAGCAACTTGTGCTAGACCATGTTGAATTGAAATGCTTTAAAACCACTTATTTGTGCTTTACTTCTGGCAAATATAAAATCTTAACAGGCTTCATTGAACTGTGTAGATAGCCACAGTGTAAGATGAATCCTTACTAATGTGTACAAAACAAATTAATCAAGAGTATATAGTCAGCTTGTTAAAATGTAAGAAGATTCAAACACTTCCCTTTCACAATTTGTCATTTTGAACAAATGTTACATTAGAATATTGTTAATATTGTTTTTTTACGAAGGCCTATCCTTGACAAAATCAAGCGATATTTTTGTCTTGCATTTAATATATGTACATCAATTACATTAACACATCTAAGAATTCTTCTGACATGCTTGAGATAAACAATGTAAAAGTGCAAATGATGTGGAAACTAAAATTGTTTTAGTTTTCTAGGATGGACTTCAGTATTGATTGCAATGTTTTTGATACTAACTCAATGAGAGACATAGTTAGATATTCCGTTCTGATAATATTAATAACAGATACGTAGATAGTAAAGAAAAAAATGTTGTGTTGATTATAGACTAATGACAGCATTACTTTTTTAAAAACTTTTTTCTATAGAAATTATATTTTTATATACATTATATGTAAGTTAAATTGTTTCATGTGAGAAGTTTACTTGTATATGTTCAAGTATATTTTCCCCCATTCTTTTGAGAACTGTAAACATGAAGATAACTGTATCAATATTGCAATAGGAGGAATTTTTTCTCCAAACAAAAGCAAAGACATTTATGTGACTGGAAATAGGTCTAGAAAGAGAAATTGATACATTGTTATGTCCCCTGTGTGTTTAAGAAATGAAGTAAACATTTAGGGCAATTATAACTAGGTGCAATGTTAAGTGTCATGAGATTGAAATACTTGCCAGTATTGTCCATCTCATTTAAAAAAATATATAATATTATATAAAAAACATAAATGCTTGGGTTTTTTCACTTCATTTATCTCTTTCCAAATACATGTATATAGATAAATAAATGAAAATTTGAACAATGGTTTAATTTTTTAGTTTTAAAAATGTGTCGTCAAAACTCATACCATGGACCTTTAGAATGGCCATTTACTGATATTGTTATTGCTGGGAAATATGGGGATGTGAATATTAAATTTTCAGTAATCTAGAACAAAATGAAAACCCAGTTTATAAGATTATTGTTGATATAAAATTTTAATGCTTAGCGTTTATTATTTCATAGTACACAGATAAATGTGAATATGACACGTAAAAAATGAACAAAAAGAATTTTTTATTGAAAAAAGGATAAATTTAAATTAAATCAGGTGTAGATTTAATCAGATATTACATTTTGTATATTAAAGGTGATTTGTGATAAACATGTAGGCAATTCTGTTTTGCTATTATTTGTCAGATCATGACTGTCAAGTATTAATTTCTATTCAGATTATTTTCATTTTAAAAAAGAAATTTTTAGAAGCACACCCCAAGTGGCTCTTTTTTGTTTAAACAGCGTTGGAATATGACTAACACTATGATACTGTAATCTGATGCAGATATATATACATGTATTATATACAGACAATATTGTCATGACAAATATTATTCTTTCTATGACATGATTTTTATAGCTACATTAATCAGCATTAACTAAATTGTTACTCAGAAAAAAGACATATGCAACATATCATTATATAGATTAACCCTTACCATGCTAAAAATCTTAAATGGACTTGTCCGTTTTTTAATCTGGACAAGACCATTCATCATTTTTAGGGAAAATTTCAAAATATGTACTGACTGAATAACAAACAGTGCTGACCATGATGAGACAGCATGGAAATACTTTCTGATCTTGGTCTGCACTGGGTATCTTCTGTAGTGACCAGTAGGCTGAAGGAAACAATTATTTACTAAAATAATTATGCATAATTATATAGTATATCCTGTGCTATGTGCCTTACATTTTGATTCTTTTGAAGTTAGGTAAATGGTAGTGTAGAATGACAGTGTAGAAGATAGCTAAGGTCACTAGTTTTAATTGAAACTTTAGTGAATAAACAAGGTGTGTCATTACCTGTAAGGATAGATATATTTATAAGTAGTGTTTATTCTTAATAAAATATTGTGTTTCAATCAAAATACATAATTAATTTTTTTGTGCTTTTATGGTTATATAATTATAGGAATTATTCAACAACTTTATTCTGGAACAACGTTAATTTTTTACATTCCAGTTTTGTTAATAAATTTTTACAAATGTTTACATTGTTAAGATGAGGTACTATATTTTTATTGATACTATACATGTAAATGGCAACATATTTTTGTATTATTCTCTGTTCTGTGTTGTGTTATGTAAGAGCTTGATTATTTATAGACTTGTAAGGCCATAGCCCTTGTGTTGGCAAGGGTGAACACATCGTTATAGCTATCTGTGTAACCTCATATCTTTTGAATGTGTTCCATTGAAACTATGCAATTTTCAGGCTATAATTGGTTTATTCTAAATTTATTTAATTTGATTATGTAAGAAGCGATAAGCTTATTGACACACTTTTGAATCCGTTCCTTGAATCAACTAGTATTGAGAAATTGAGTGTAAAGATTCTTGCTCATAGAAACAAAGTCTTGCCCTTGACAGAGTTTGAACCCAAGCGGCTAGTGATCATTAGATAACTAGTCAGGTGACCGTGTGTTAACTACTCGACCATGCTGCTACTTCCTAGATTATAATTGTTGAGTCATGCTCAAAGGCATGTAACTTTATCACAGATTTCTACGCAACTATATAGCTGTTAGTGAACATTGAGATTTTTAATGCAAGTTCCATCTCCACAATTACTGGAGATATTTACTTGAAAATTCATAACTATCTCCAGAGTTATAATTGTAGGTCATGTGTAAAGGTCCATAACTCTAGCATGGATTTTTATTGAATTGAACCTTTTTGAGTTCTTTGATGGTAGATAAGTGCAAGTTTTATCTTGATGGCTACTGAAAATGTTCATTACAAATTTCACCTATATCTTTTGAGTTAAATATTCACTTTTGAAGATCTTTAAATGTAGCATTTATTTTCACTGAATTACTCCCTTTTTTGTGGTATAAAATGAAAATCCTGCTTATACAGTTTAATGTTCTTCTACTATCAAGTTTTAAGGATAGTCAAGCACTCTTGTTTTGTTTTTTTTAAGTCTTTGTCTATGATACTCTGTATTTGAATAAGTAGTTTATTATACATTGTAATCATATAATGAGGTATAAATATTAATAAAAATGACGCCAGTTAATTCGGAAGAAGTTGTCTGCACCTGTCATTTGTAACAGCACCCCTGTTACCCCTAACCACCTAAAGTAGCATTTACTTTGATTTTGGAACTAAAAAAGAAGTCCTTCTAAAGTCTCTGCCGTGCCTGGGAACAATCAGCTGGTAAAATTATCTACCTAAATTCCCCCTCTCTGCAGTTAAGGCCTTTGCCTTTTACCTGAAAATAACATTACTCGATATGTATTAGGGAACTGCTAAAAGGTAATAAAACCTTATCAGTTACCTTACTATCAGGGGTTATAAATGATAGGTGAACAACTGTAGGAATTAAACTAAGGTTGTGGAAATATATAAATCATAATTATGAAGTCATAGGTGTATTCTTATTATAATTTATCATATTTGTATAATTAGAAATGACTTTTGCCACCGTTGAATGGAGCTTCTCATGTCAATTTCTCTTGGGGTTAATTTAACATCCAATTAAACCATTTTGAGATAAGAATTTCTTTATTTAAAAAATAGAACAATATTATCGTTATTCTAAAATATGGTGTTTTATAAGTCTGCAGTTAAATTTGTCAAATTTAAAAATTGATATATACAGTATGTAAATCAAAAGTAATGGTAAAAAGTATATGTTGAACTTTATATGAGTAAATAAAATTTAATAATTGCAGAAAGTATAATATGTTGTTATATTTTTGTATATGTGGATAAAATTATGCATAATTATGTGATAAAAATGGGCAATTCAACATGCAACTGTTTATTGAAATTCATGCCAAAACTGTATTTAATATTATAACAAAATTATTTTATATCAAACATCATTCCATGAAAAAATGTTTTCACATTCATGTGTTCATATCTGAATTTAATTTGCACTTTTTACCCCGCTTTTTATGTATTTAATTGCCAAAACTTGCAGCAATTTATTGACAGATGCTTGTTAAAATTTCATACTGATATTATCTTTTTAACATTATATAATCTTGCTGAATAAACTAGATCAGGTTTTTTTAACCAGGTTTGCCAATACAAAACTGGTTATTAGATTGGTGAATGTGAAGGACAGGTGGCCATCAATTCTTGTGTAGGCAACTCCTACATTTCTCATGCATTTTTCTTCCAACTGAACTGTCATAGACTGTATGTCATCAAATACCCTGATAGTGTTGTCAAGATGATCTTATTTCATCTTTTTTGACACAACATGACAGATCTGTTTTGTTATTTTCTTGTTGATTTTGTACATTAAGGATATATATTGTATTTGTTGCAATAAGCCTTTTTAACCATATGCTGATCTCACTTCAGATTTGAGTATCAAAATTTAATATGAAAAAATCTTAGTTTTGCTGAAGAAGAGAAAAAAAGATAAAACTTTATTTTACTCAAAAATTAAAAATATTACAGTTTAACATTAATGCATAGATCCCTGACCTATCTAATTCTTATTATCAGATTAGTGGATACAGTAACAATTTCACCATAACCTATTTGTTAACAAAAGAGCACATGTCAATGTTTGTGGTTCAATTTATTGTTATTGAAATAAAAGGTCAGAGCAGGGATCTATCAATAGTAAGTAAGGTAACATTAAAATTTTTCTATTGTCAGACAAAAAAATGGGGAGCACCCTGTAATGGGAATGTGATCCTAGCATCCTTGTCCTGATCAATAACTAATGAAAGAGTTTATGTAAATAGAACATTGCCCATAGTAATTAGATGACCCTAATTGATTTTGAGATCATTAAGTCAAAGGTCAAGGTCACAGTGACACTTGATGTGAATTTTTTGTCTAACCAATAAATAGAGTTTCCTTAGCCATAGTTTCGTGAAATTTATTAGTACCAATACTATTTCATATATATTATATAATTTATGACCTTTATGAAATATGCACAGGTACGGGTACTAAAAATTTAAGTCTCATATAGGTATCAATTGCTTGTATGTTTCAGTTAGGGAACAGTGTCCAAAAGACACATTTCTAGGGTAAAACATATTGAACAATAATTTAAAATACTAACCTCAGGGTAGTTATAGGGGTACATTTTTTTTTTCGTCATTTCGATACATTTGAACTTCATATAATGCAACTGTTTTTATGTAAAATATGTTGTTGTTTTTTTTTCAAAACCATTAAATATGAGAAAAAATTCAAAAAAACATGGTTTTCTAAATATGTATCATTTTACTTTCTATATAATTTTATGTAAAGATCTGATCTAGTACAGTTATTTTTTTATTCAAGTTTGCTTTAATTAAAAACAGCTGCAGACAATATGTACAAAAATACATACAATGTACATGACTTACTCGTAATTTAAAGAAATTTGAAGGTATATCCCTCTGTATTGAACATATCATTTATAATTGAAGATAGTTGTTTTATTTACATGCATTGTTATTTTATAAATCAGTTGTATATTCTGTATATTTTTATAAATGAATATAAGTAAATCGTCTTTGAGTTTTTTATGCTAAGGGGAGTAAATCTTGTCAACGAAGAAATATTTTTTTACATAAATTGTCTCCCTTTAGGTATTGTCTTGCATCCCCCCTACCCCCTTACGCAGGGGGTTTTCCCTTTTTTGGTTTCGTACTTTAGCCCATTTGAGTGTACCCCAAAAAAACCCACTGCAAAGATTTTTGCCCTGAAAAAATTCAGGAAGTTTACCTCCAAAATTCAATCTTGAAAAATCCTCAATTCAATCTTGAAAAATCCTCAAATAATCTGCATGTCCGTAAACATTTTATCAGTTACACTGGCGACAGTGTCTTCTTGCGGCTGTGACTACTTCACAACCCTATAGGATTGCGTCACTGAAATATCACGCCCTAGCATGTTTTAGCGATACCCCCATTTTTAGTGAAATTATTCGGGGAAATTTCCCCGTACGACTGAGGCTTTTGAGACATTTAAAATTTTTAAAACTTTTTGATGCTCTTTGGGAAAAAACCAAAGGGGCCCGAACCCTTTTCTCCCCCAATCGAGAAAAAACAGACCCCTATAGTGCAACAAAAATTTATTCCTTTTTGTAAAAAATCTAATTTTTAAAATGGGCCCGGGGTTCACGATTTTTTGCTTCAAAATCAAAAGTGAAATGTTCGGGGTTTATGAATTTGCGCCTAACTTTTGTGATGGGCCCCTTATTTTTCAAAGACACAACAAACAAAACTGTATTATAAAGAAAGTTTCCATGGTCGTGACATCTATCATGATACATTACATAAAAAGAAAAATGCGCAAAATTTGGGACAATACGGTATAGAGTTATACCCATTTTTTTTTTTAAAAAATTTAAACGTCGATGCTTTAAACGATCTCCTATTCCCCCAATTTGGGGTTTAACCCCAAAATTGCCCCTGGGCATTTTAAAAGTAATCAAGATTAGTATCGCACTGCTTCACTAAGCGAGTGATGTATTCATCAACAAGTTTCACAAAAAAATTTATTTTTCTCGGGTTTAAAAGGCAATATTTCTGGGGCCAGATGCTCAACCGTAAGGGTATACCCCCGGGCGCCCCTGCTTTCCCAAAAAAATTTGAAAAAGCATGGGTTTGTTTGGTTGTTTAATTTTTTTTTGGGACCTCGATTATAAGAGAAGTATTTTTCTAAAAACCCTACCCTAAATAAACATTAGTGTAAATGGGCTTAATGCGTTCTTTTCCCTTCTTTTTTTGAAACATACAAAAAAGCGGGGTCCATCAATTCCCTTTAAAAATTTTAAGAGCATATAAAATTAAGAAGGTAAGGGGAAAGCACTGAAACTACAGTACCCTCCAATTTGCTCGATCAATAGGTAAGGAAAAAGGTTCGATTCCTGAACGGTGCAGGTTCCTTTCGTTGCGATTGATCATGAAGTCCTTTCTGCGCTCATTCGCACTGTACCTCAATATGCTCTGGCATATACAGAGAAGTTACCCAGTTCTATGGGAAAGTGAAGGCCACTAGTACTAATGGCACTGGTTAACTGCCTGTCTAGGAACGATGCGCCGCTCTTGTGAGTTCAAAGTGACTTATATATATCCGAAGGGTAAACTATCGCCACCACCACAATCACCAGCTAGGGTGCAGGATATATAAATTTATCATATATATTGTTCGTGTATACGGCGTTTTTAAGACTTTCTTCCTTAAATTCCTGTCCTGTACCGTTTCAACTACTTATTGATTAAAAAAGTACAGGTGTTATAAATTTGTTGACAGTTTTGGTAAAATGGTTTTGATTATCTGTATATATATGTATTTATCTGTCAGATAGTATACATTAAAAGCGGTACAGCGTTTAATAGATATTTACCTTAACAGTGAATTCCACGTGACATGCTATTAAACCAATGAGCGATGTGTATTGGTTGACCTGCTCTAAGGTAGGCCTACCTAACTCAATTGAATGGCAGTAGTAGTTTAACGTTAAGATAGTGTGGTGGAGAACCGTGTTTATGGCGGATTATTGCCAATATAGTGCCTTAAAATTTGTTAAATAGTTGTTAATTACTCGATTTAGTTGAATTTACTTAACTTTGGATTTAATCTGTTAATATTGCTGTAAATTCCTGGTGTGCAAAGAGTGTATTCGATGTATTATTTGGAATAAGTGTTCAAAATGATGGAATTAGAGCCAATCATTCCTCAACATAATCAAAGTGTCCCTCAGGTGAGTTAATTAACGTGTATATTAAATGATGAGAAAGGTAGATTATATGGTCCATTAAAATTGTTAGACGTTTAACGTTATCACTATTTTACAGGTGTGTTTTGATATCTATTTTTGACAGTATCAGACATCATAATGTCATTACGTTACACATTTTCTGCATTGTATCACGATTAATTAGCCTTTTGATTAAAACTCGATATCAACAAATATAGCAATGGTCTAATTAGGGACCCCTGTGGAACTCATTTAGGTCACGGGCACCTGTAGAAACGGAAGTATACTTTCAACTTATACAATGCGCGTGCGTAAAGTGACGTCAATTTCAATTGCGCTGAATCACATTGGAGACAGACGGAAATAGTAAACTGAGGCGAAACTTATGAGAATATAACTTATTTAAAGGAATTAAATAAACTTTTTAATAACGAAATGCAAAATAGACATGTTTTAATTATAGACTGCTCACTGAGTGGCCCATTCGGGCTGTAATACTCTGAAAGAGTGTTCCAGAACATTGCCAGCGTTTACCGTTGTGTTACTATTTTTAGATTTAAGTTAATCGAAGGGCAGGTAACTCCCAGAACACGTGATTTGTAAACAAAGACTTTGTTTGGACTTTCTATTCTAACCACAAAACATGTTGAAACAATATTTTACTGACGGACTTGTACAGATAGCTATATTGTTGAGTATTCTTAGGACAGATTTAAACAGTCTGAACAGGGAGTATGTGAATTATCCAGAAGTGCAAGAAATTATTCTTGGACAGACTGCTGCTTATACCCATACTAATTTCCACATTGACACTATCAACAATAGACTTGGTTCACCTGAAATTTACAGGAAAAATATTGACACTGAACATTTATTTAGTTCATCTATATACAGAGAAATACGTTCATTCCGTCCAAGAAGAAATGAGGATCTCAATGTACCAACATTCTTGCTGGTGTCTGGAACACCAGGTCCTGTAATTCATTCGCAAGATACGTCTGATCAAAATGAGAATGAGGATGAAAACAATAACAACATCCAATCAGAGCTGACTTTGTCATCTGAAGATCTTGAACTAGAAGCGGAAAACTTGTTAAACACTTTGGAAGAAACAATAGGTGCCATATCGCCAAACTTCAATCTTCAAAATATACAAGGCACAGATCCTACTAGTGAGGTATAAGCATATGTCAACACATTCAGGGTCTGCATTTTAAGCATTATGGATTATGGAGGAACATACCCTCATTTAAATTTTATATACATGTTATATTTTAAACAGTAATAATTTTAATCAAGGGAAATTGATGTTACAAATATTTTAGGCTTGCACTAGCATGGCTGTTTGTATAGGTTAAAGTTTATTTTTTGTTGCACTAGCATGGCTGTTTGTATAGGTTAAAGTTATTTGTTGGTTTTTACAAAATTAAATTGGTCAGGCACGGCACAGCCCCATGACCTATTTAATTTTGTAAATACATACTTATGAATTTTAACCAGCTTAGTGTTATTATTTTTATAAACAGTTGATTTACAAGACTGATTCACAGTTTGCTGATTTACCAAAGTAGGAAGTATGTTATGCTGCAATCCTATTGGACAAAAAATAATTTTCAAACTTAGTCATGGGCTTGGCAATTGTAAAGATTTAGATGTGGTAGTATACATGTACAGCATAAGCAACAGATATTTTGCTCTTTCAAATAACTTTTTTTTTTAATGACAATTGATAATGTATTAACTGTGATTTACTTAGTGCCAGTCTTTCAACTTCTAATCAAGTCAGTATGGTCAGTAGGTTTAAGATATAATTATGCTGCCACTCATATGTTTAAGTTAAAAAAATACCTTTTTATGTTTGGTTAGTACTATCAAGTTTGTATGTATGTTTTGTTATATATATATTAAATTTAATGAGCTAGTTTGTTTATGAAATATATATATGTAACTCAGTATTGGTGCTTTTTGGAAGGTTTTTATATTGTTTTTTTGTGATTAAGGAACATTTATATGACCACAAATATCAAGGAACTTATATTTTTAAGTATGAAAATGATTACAAGTGTAGTACTGTAAAGAGGAATTTAAGGATAAAGTCCCTGCCTGGCCCGATGTTTATAGATATTGAGATAATTAATTTAATACAAAAAAAAGTGTAGAATAGTGTTCAGAACTTACCACTATTTTGGGGTGAAGACTTGTTAGCTGATAGCTCAGTAAGTAGAATTGCAGAATGGTGTTACGAGGGTACGGAGTTTAAGTCCCGCTCAGGCTGCACACCCTGTGACATGTGTTTAATAAATTACAATAGAATAAAAAAAAAATCTGAACATGATAAACTTCTTTGATATGATACAAACCATTTCTATTTTATCATACAATATACAATATAACATGTATATTAACTTAAGCGCATCTTAATTACTATTCTGCTTAGTGCATTTATTTTGTTTTAATGCAGTACCATTATAAGATATAAGCATTACATTATGACTTCATGCCAAGCAGCAATTTATTTTAACATTTTTTTCTGGTTTCTATGTGGGTTGTGTTCACAGACGTCTGGACTTGATGTGTTTGCAAAATTTGCAAACTCAAAATAAAATACTCCAGTTTGAGAGAACTGAGAGTGAAACTGATAAACTGTTATTTTCACAGTTGTTGACCTAATTGTAACTTACTTCAATGTTACTATATTTTTTTTTTCACAAGAAAAATCTTTAGTGGTGTATTGTAAGACAGAAATTGTTAAACTGTAATATTTACAGTAGTGGACTTTAGTGTAGAATAGTACATGTAGATATCAATTTGCTGTTATGGTATAATTAAAAATACCTTTAATCCTTAAGTAATCAGAAAAGTAAATTGTTAGATCAAAGTTGGAAACCAAGTTATAACAACAAGTTGAAGAGTTTATTGTTAGCTCACCTGCCACAAAGTGACAGGGTGAGCTTTTGTGATCGCTTTTTGTCCGGCGTCCGTCGTCCGTCCGTTGTCCGTAAACTTTTACTTTAAATGACATCTCCTCATAAACCACAAGGCCAATTTCATCCAAACTTCACAGGAATGTTCCTTTGGTGGTCACCTTTAAAAATTGTTCAAAGAATTTAATTCCATGCAGAACTCTGGTTGCCATGGCAACCGAAAGAAAAAACTTTAAATATCTTCTTTAAAAAAACCATAAGAGCTAGAGCTTAGATATTGGGCATGAAACATCTTCTAGTGAGTGTCTTCCAAGTTTGTTCAAATAAAAGCCCTGGGGTCAAAATTGGCCCCGCCCCGGGGGGTCATTGATTTTCCCTATATGCATATAGTAAAAACTTAAAAAATCTTCTTTTAAAGAACTCAAAGAGCTATGGCTAAGATATTGAGCATCAAACATGTTCTAATAGGTGTCTACCAAGTTTGTTCAAAGAAAAGCCCTGGGGTCAAAATTGGCCCCGCCCCAGGGGGTCATTGATTTTCCCTATATGCATATAGTAAAAACTTAAAAAATCTTCTTTTAAAGAACCAAAAGAGTTAGAGCTAAGATATTTAGCATTAAACATGTTCTAATAAGTGTCTACCAAGTTTGTTCAAATAAAAGCCCTTGGGTCAAAATTGACCCCGCCCCGGGGGGTCATTGATTTTCCCTATATATGCATATAGTAAAAACTTAAAAAATCTTCTTTTAAAGAACTCAAAGAGCTATGGTTAAGATATTTAGCATCAAACATGTTCTAATAGGTGTCTACCAAGTTTGTTCAAATAAAAGCCCTGGGGTGAAAATTGGCCCCGCCCCGGGGGTCATTGATTTTCCTTATATGTGTATAGCAAAAACTTAAAAAATCTTTTTTGAAAAAACCCAAATAGCTAGAGTTAAGATATTAAGCATGAAACATCTTTTAGTGAGTGTCTACAAAGTTTGTTCAAATAAAAGACCTGGGGTCAAAATTGGCCCCGCCCCGGGGTCATTGATTTTCCTTATATATGTATAGCAAAAACTTAAAATCTTCTTTGAAAAAACCCAAATAGCTAGAGTTTAGATATTAAGCATGAGACATATTCAAGTAAGTGTCTACAAAGTTTGTTCAAATAAAAACCCTGGGGTCATAACTGGCCCGGCCCCAGGGGTGTCATTGTTTTTAACTATATGTGTATAGTAAAAACTTAAAAAAAATCTTCTTTTAAATAGCCCAATGAGCTAGAGCTTAGATGTTAAGCATGAAACATCTTCTTATGGGTGTCTACCAAGTTTGTGCAAATAAAAGCCCTTTGGTTAAATTGGCCCTGCAACGTTGGGGGGGGGGTTTGGGGGGCCTATATACAGGTGAGCGACCTCAGGGCCATCATGGCCCTCTTGTTTTTTTTATTGTCATAGTTTTATAATATATTATTATTATGATAATGCTGTAAACAAATGACCAAGTTTTTTTATATAGATAAGTCTGAAAGTCATGATCGTGATATGTATCGAATTGCAACATAAGAATCGCAATATACATTGCATTTCATCAAAATATGCAATACATATCGTGAATTGCAGTGTTTGGAAAAACAAGTATCGTGATATGTATCGTAACAGAAAAAAATGGCAATGCACAGCCCTACAAGTTTGCTTGTTTGGCCCGAGGTCCAAGCACCTGAAAACAATGAAAACCCACCTGGTTCTTTCCTTGAACAAGAAATTTTATGCTGTTTGCTCACAATACTGCTAAAATAAATCTAACGGCAATAAGAAACCAAACTACATATTATATACAGTTAATTATTATACATATAATATTTTAAAGGCAGAGCATAGCAAATTGGCCACATCATATTTTGTACATCAACAATACTAGTCAGATGGTATAAAAAATTGTTAGATCTAGTCAAAAGATTTGCCACTGAAGCCGGTCAAATCTCCGTTGAAAGTAAAGATGAAAACCTGAAAAAACAGTAGCTCTGTCACCAAGTATATTTCATTAATCATATCTAGACACTGAATGTATCTCTTAGAAAGATGTTCTGTTAGATTGACTTCATGAACTATGTCGTGTATGATGTTGAAAGGTATCATTAAAATGTTGTTCTAAATACAATGAACACATTCATAAGGCAATGATTGTGTAAAATAGCATTTAAATTTATATCTATTAAAAAAAGGTCCTGGAATAGTCCTCAAATTTTCAAGATGTAAAGAGTAGGAACACAGTTTATAATGGAATTAAGAACTCACATTAAGACAGTATAATTTTGGGGTACAATGTACTTATTAAATTACAGCAGATATTTTTAGTACTAACTATATTATATAATTATGAGAAATAAGATTTATGTGAATACATTTAAATATTTGTGCAGTCATTGAATTTAGCACTGGCCCGTGGCCAGTGAAAAATAGTTCGGGCCAGTGAAAATTTCAAGAAAATTTAGTTAAATATATCTATAGTAGAATAAATTCAAAACTGGAATTCGGACTAGTTAGTTAATTCAATATCTTTAATTCATTGACTGTTTGTGTTACTGTCTACTGATCTGACATGATTGCTTTTTTTCACAATAGGAGAACTAGTTACAGAATTATTATTAAAGGAAATTTTTAAAGTAAAACAAAATTATAAGGAACACAGGGGGCTCCTTGAGATTTTGAGGGACATTTTAAAAATTTCTTATGCGCATGAAGTATATGTATTTGATCTATTTTGAATTTTTGCTTGAATTTCTAATATAATAATCAGTAATTGTTTAAGTATGGTGCAAATACAAATTAGAGATTAATATTTCTAATATATTCCACATACCAGTATACATTCCTTTAGATACATGTATATACAACCTGGATTGACTAAAATCAGATTATTAAAGTCATTTTTGTTTTAAGATTTGCAATGTCGTTTGGAAAACTTCAGTATTCCTATGATATGATATTGTTAAAACTCAAGATTTTTTGTGTAGGTCTAGCTCAATTTTTTACCAGTTTTAGGATTTTTTGAAGAACTGCTAATACTGGAACTTGTTTTATGTTAAGGGTGTTACCTTTACTACATTTAGAAGGGGTCATATTATTTTAAGGTTAATATTCTTAATTAATGGTTCTGATAATTTACATTACAATTTGTTTTCCTGGTACACATGGTTGAATGTATTTCTGACCAGTTTGTAATTTTTCATATGTGATGAATAACTGAAATTTTTCAATTTTTCAACACTTTTGAGAATCTTTCAAGTAAGGATACAACATGATTTTACCCTTTATATATTTTATAATAATATCTCCTTAGATAAAGCTTTATACATAGTAACAGTTTTCATTTGAATTGAAAAGATACATTTTTATATGAATTTATATGAAGTATAATAAATTATCAAGTACTCAAGGATTTTTTTTTCAAATTAGGAGGAAGTATTTATCATACCATATTATGTAATATCTGAAACAACATTGAATTATTCTTGAATCTTCTCATCTTATTTTCCTTTTGCAAAAATACGTTCAGAATGTAGATTTCCTCCTAAACCAATTTCAATACAAATTAATTTAAATTTTCGGATTTCAATTTAAATTGGAATTTTGTCAATAGAGTTTCCAGCTGTGTTTAATCTGTTACTTTATAATGCGAGATATGTACTTTAAGATTTAAATCTTCACACATGTTTAAAACTCTTATAACATTGTTGTACATTTTGTTCTTTCAAACTCTGTTTTAGCCTTATTTTGACCTGATATTGTAAACGGTTAATAGTAATAATCTATCAGTAATCCTATGTTAGTACCCCACATGTTTTCACATACTTTAACAAATATTGTTGATAAGTTTTTATTTCGGGTAGTTCAATTTATTTTTCGCTTGCGGCTATACTTTTATTTAAGCGCTTTGCGAAAACTTGTTTGTATATAAGATACTATTTCAGTTTTAACCGAACAATGGGCCTTTGTACAAAACTTTGTATAACCAAGCACACCCTTCCCTTGTGACCTAATACAAAAATTGAACATCGACCTATGTAAATGTGAAATTGCGATACATACAAAGTTGCCGAGGCATGACGCGGGGTGTAATGAATCATTTCTTCTTGAGAAAAGTAATCTTACAGTCTGTCGCTACATCAGGTTAATGTGGCCTTGTGGGCTTTCAGTTTTCGGGTAGAGTTTGATAACAATCTTGTAGTTTCAAGTTTCAAGTGAGATAAATTGATTGTTATTTGAAGGTCTGGGTGACTCCTCCTAAACTGAAATATTGTAGACATATTTAAAGAAATAAATTGGGGAAAAGTTTTCTTCAGTATAGAATTTAATATCTTTTGAAGTTTAAAATTGGCTTGTTTTTTTTTTTTTTGAGCATATATAGTCTAATCTATAAAGTAAATCTTTTGATGTATGACGGCTATTGGTTCTTTTATATTTTAGCAGTTCTTTAAAGCTAAAAAAATGCTATTATTAACAAACAAAAGTACTGGCATGCAAGTAGTTCCCATACAAAATCAGTACCTGTTTTTATACAACATTGATCTTTACCCATGTCATTCCCATTTTACAGATGCATTAAGTTACATGTAAATGGACATCATCTGAAAGCATTTTGGAGTTTCCAAGAGCTGAAATTAGAATATTTGTGTGTAACAATCAATTGTCAGTGAGTAAGCGTATTTGAACTGAAAAGTAACTGTGATTTTTGTATGGGAACTACTCTCATGGCAGCATAAAAGCAATTTGAAATAAGAAAAGTAGAAAAATGAATTTTCCGTTTTGCCTACAAATTGATATAGTTCAAGACTGTACATTCATATCATTGTCATACATGTAGCTACAGTTTATTAGAGCTTCAGGAGATCACATGTAAATTTGTAATCGCAACCAACACTTGATGCAAAAGCGGCATAACTAGTTATATTAAAGGGGCAGATACAGTGGTTTTGTATGGAGATAATCATATCAATAAATTGCCTTGTCACTGGTCATTTAGTTCATAAAACAAGGTTGACCAGTAATAATTTGTCCATAAACATCAATACCAGGTGTGTGAAACACTATTTATTAATTAGCCAATTTACATTCATGTACAACACAAATGTACCTTTATTAAAAGGATATTCACCATGAAAAACTTATATAATTATAACTTATAATATTTTGCTTAATATTTTTCAGTCTTATGCTTGAACATATAAATTTATGGTTTTTTTTAGCTCACTCGGTGAATACATATGTATTTACTTTTTATGAAAAAAATATTATCAATGTAGAAGTAGATATTTATTTTTTCATCTATTCTGTGATATGATTTTTTGAATTTAATAGAAAGAAGTCTGGCCAAAACACCATGATGCTCATCAAAATCTGTATCTTTTTCAATTACAGTGATATGATCAGATAAAAATAATATGTACATATATATAGCACTATCAAACTATCAAAATCTGTAGATATTGAAATACAATTTGTAACGCAAAAAAAATGTACTGGTCAGGAAATTGCCTTTAATTTGCTCTGAAAATATAAATGATTCTATTGAATAAACACATGTTATCATAATGAAGTACTATTCTTTAAACCATATTTTTGTTATTCAGCAACTTACATGTGATGCTTAGTGAAACATTTTGGTTATATAAATTTTTTTTATTTTTTTTTGAGTTCAATTTTGTAGTAGGCTTTAAGCTTACAGATACAAGTTCCTGGAACCAACCAGTACTAGTGTCTTGCTCAATGAAACAACGACTTGCCCCTGAAAGGGTTTGAACCCATGCTGCCAGCGATTACTTGATTACTAGTTTGACGCATTAAGCACTCGGTCATGCTGCCATGAAACCTTTTGTTGCATTAGGCCATTTATTTTAAGATTTCCAACTGTTGACTATTATGATTTATCATTATAGATATTTGGAAGACTTCTCATCCTTCAAAACTTTGATTTGATTTAATTTAATCACATTTCCCCTTAATTCCACAAGATTGGTCATTTTGATTCATTGTCATAGAATTTGTGTGTATTTTATATTATATATATCTGTATTCAAATTGAAAAGATTTCACTCTGAACTCAGTATATAAGTACTGATATAATTAATATATATGATTAATTAATCACATTACAGAATTATGAGTTTGATATATTTTCTGATTTTAGGATCTGGATCTAATTGAGGTGTTATGGAGGCAGGACATCGACCTTGGTGTAGGGAAGGAAGTGTTTGATCCTAACCTGAGACGTGAATTAGAACGAGAACGAGAAATAGAGCTGCAGAAAGAGAGACAAAAGGTAAATTATTTAAAGTTTACAAAGAAATTTATCAAAGAAAACATGTATATAAGATGGTGTTAAGAATAGCTGTAATCCGAAACATAGGAAATGTGAGATTTTCCAAGTTAATCACCTGGTACAAACAAACTAACCGTTAATTTCACAGTGCACAAACGTTCACAACAGATACACTTAGTTTTGAAGCTGTAACTGTTGAAGATTTTTGTACCCCCAGATTAACTGGGAAAACCCAAAATATTTTTTATTCAGGGGCAAGTCTATTTATAAATAAATTAAATAATTTTCTAAGTAAGTGGGTAAGTGACTTAGACTATCTCTTATCACTTCTTTTTCTTCATTTAATTGACAATAGACATAGCATTTTGAACACTTTTTTTGATAGCGTGAATCTTAAGACTATAAAAATTCATTTAAAACAAAGCAAGCATTGTTTTGATATCTTAAATTGTTAATGGTTTGTATATGAGACAGTATACATTTAAATTGTAAGATACTCTAATCAATGTTTGAATAGATTATTGGCAGAGATTTATGTCTGCATGGGGTAGGATCCATATCTCTCCTCTTCTAAGATCAATTCATTATGTCATGTGATATATCTAAATACATGACATCAAATGCAAATATGATATGACAAACATGTTTTAGATATTATTATTATTTTATAGTCTTCAATTTATGTGCCTTGTGTTTGATATATATTTGCTTATAATTGTACAGGCTTAAATTTGCTATGCTTTTATGTGATATACATAGTATAATTAAAAACAGTTTAAAGTTCCACATATTAAATGATTGTTTTGTAAAGGAGAAGGTCCTATGTATAGAGCTATAATAAGATTGTAATGTTTTAACTAGAGTGTAATTGATAAAAGATCAAATGTTGATCATTTAAAATGTTGCTCAGTCTTCAGTGAACTTGTATACAAGAAAGCTCCAAGGGGTTTTCCTTTTGTAAAATTAGAAATAATGTGGGCTCTATGAACTTGTAATAGTTTTTGGCAAATCAGCCTTTTGCATGTTCTTTCTTTCCCCATGCAGTATTTTTTAACAGGACCAGTATTTACACAAGGACACCAACACGTTTGTTTTCAATATCCTGTCACATGACTATCTGTATTTTAAATGTATTTAGAGAATTGTCATTGTAAAATGTACATAATACCGTAACTAACGACAGTAACTGTTATACAAGTACCTTTAGAGCTCGAGAGAAAAGCAACAACATAAAAATATGAATCTGTACTAAAATTCAGATACTATAAATTCAATTTAATGACTTGCTGTAAACTGAGATGCAGAGGCATGGTTATGCATTACGAAATTTGAGTTTTTTATATCTCCTTAAAATTTTCTTCTGCTTGTCTTACTTCATCTGCATGTCTGATTTATATTTCTCCCAGAGTTTGTAATCAGCCTTATTGTTCTTTAAGTCTTCAGGAAAACATATTGAATTTCCCATTTTAATTTCTCTGATGGAAAACCTGGAAATTTCTTTGTAATACCATCCTGCAGTGAAGTCCATAACAGATAAATAATACAAAAAAATATCAATCCATTTAGCTTTGTGCCTAAGGCAGCTTTTGTATATGGTACTGTCATTTAAATAAGTATTTGAAATATGTGTGGAAAATATTGAATTAGACACAGATTTCAAAGCAGTGAAACTTGAGCTTGATGCAATTTCCATGTTTATTAAATACCATCTGGTCTTAGGTGTTGGATGAATGTATAGACTGCAGGGTTATCAATATTACTTGATATGCTATAACTTATTGTAAATTGGAGATTTTCTAGGACTTGTCAACATTAAGCTCTTTCATACTGTCTCTGTTACATGTAATTGGTTACATATTAAAAGAAGACTGTTTGGTTTGTTAGGAAAATTGATCAAGAAAGTTTTCTTAATACAGCTTTTGAAGTCGCCATTGAGGTTACTTTGAAACTTTATTGTCAATCAGAACTGTTGTTATCCTCTCCAAATATTGGTACACAAACAAAAGGGAAATGTCAGCTTACAGGATACAAATCCTTTCACCATGTACAAATATGTTTTACAATTTTTCAATGGTTTTAAACTAATGTTGCAGTAATTTTTCTTTGCTTCTGGAAATATATTTGTAAATTGGGACTTTAATAATATTTCAAGAGTCACCATCATGATTCCTGGTTGCCATGTGTAGTGACTGGATATAAGAACTATTAAATGCAAAATGTCTAAGTCTTCTGTTTAACATCTGTCTGCCCATCTGTTTTAATGTATGTCTGTCCATCTGTCTGGTCTATAACTTTGTTATTTGTGACTGTATTTCTAAATATTAATAATTTTTCTTCAGTATGCATGAAGCACATTGAGACATTATGTAACATGCAAGGGCAATACTGTCATTTTTAGATGGGTTTTAAAATAACTTGGTGTAAATGTGTTGGGCATGATGATTATGTCTGCCCAGCTCAAAAATCGGGTCTACAGCTCAAGGTGACATTAATTGTGTACATGAATAATCAAAGTCATAATATGATTGTGATGTATGAGAACAAGTTTAATGGTCAAGGTCATAATTGAAAGGTCCATTCTCATATAAGTACATTTTTGGTTATGGCTGGTTAGAAATAGCCAGGACATTTAGAAGACTTGTGACCCCCCAGATGCCAGTAGACACTTGAAAAGGTGAAGGTAATAACACTCCTAGTTGTGTCTGATTATATCTTAGTCATTCATTCAGGGATGCATTTTTGCTGGGAATATTAGAAAGTGTTTCTTTATTCTTCTTTGCAAACAAATATAATTTGTTTTTATTGTCTGGCCTACCTACTGGTGTACAAAATGCATATGAAAATCCATCTGTTTATTACATTTATTTTCTTGATAATTTACCATTTTAACAGATGATACTTTTATTTGTATGATTGATCTCTGGATGTAATTACTGTAAAATTTGCGGTGAATAATTGATGAAAACTCTAAAACTTTAATGTTGACAGGTTGTTTTATGGGACAATAATGAAAAAAATTGCATGAATTGTTAATGATTTAAGCACAGTAAGTCATTGTTTATTTAAGCATGACATTTAAGTTGACAGAATGGGAATCTGATGGCCTTTGGACCTGTTGTGTTTGTAAAATATCTAGTTAAAGTATATTGTATTTTTCTATGGAAATATGAAAAAGAAGTATGGGAAAATAATGAAACTGTAAAAATAATGTTACATGTATTTTAGAAAATTTCTCTTGTATTCAAGTTAAACATTCTCCAGACACTTGTTTTGTGTTTCATGACTGATATTTTCATCTACTGCTGTAATTATTCTATACAAATCTACACTTGCTAAATAATGTCTTTTTATTGCACAAAGATAATAATAAGGTAGCAAAAAAAGAAGAGAAGCAATCAATATAAAATTTGGAAGTAAACCTGTAGTGAGTCACCCCATTTTTAGTGCAAACTGATAAATTATATTCATGCTAAAAACAAGACAGGGAAAATTTCCCCCTAACAAAAAGCCACTTGTTTTCAGTCTCATGTAACATAAATTTGATACAATACTATAACCACTGTTAATATAGTATGTCAAGTCTAGGGCAGTTTAGACTTGATGTAAGACGACTATAACTGGTAGGTATAACCAATTTTTGCAACAAGCTTGATATATAAAATAATATATATTAAACTTAGGTTGTAATATTTATTATTAATCAAGCAACTTTTTGTAAAAAATGACAGGTCAATATCAGAGTATATTCACTGGGTTTTTTTCCTAAAAATAGACTTTCAGAGTAAATTCACCGGTTTTTCGTCTAAAAATAGATTTTCAGGAAATCCTTAAAATGACCTGACATCACGCCAAGTTCGTTGTTATTCTTCTGAAGAAAAAAACACGTTGGGTGACTTGTAAATAAGAGTCAAATTAGTCTATTTTAGTTTCTGTCTTTACATTTTTAAGAACATTCCAAATTAGTGTGCCAATGCGCTCATTTAAAAGACAGGGCCAAATTATGGAAAAAGTAGTCAAGCTGAAATTTAAAATTTTCGATTTCCGTGGTACATGTATGCAATGACAGATTTGAAAAGCCATATAAAATATATCTATAAGTTATATAATAAAACAGATATGGACTTTTTAGTTGGTGAATATGATGTGATATGTACTGAAACATTAATATTGACCTCGGCTATAGTGCCAAAATATTAATTTTTTCAGTACATATCACAACATATTCACCAGCTAAACAGTCCATATTTGTATAATATTAAAAGTGCCCTGTGCTTCCACTCCATCTAAATTAGTCATCTTTGGTATTAGGTAAGATAATACAGATAATACAGATTTTTTTATAAAAATAGAAGAAAAGTAAACAAACAAGCTTGCAATGTGTCCTGTTAAAAGATTTAATATCTAAACCACAAGTTAAAAATTTGTGGCTATATGATTTAATAGAAGATATTTCAAAACTATAAATGTGATTTCAATACTGAAACCAAAGTGTTTTATCAGTTGTGCATGTCCTTGTGTGATTAGATATCCTGCCAATGTACACACCTGTACTCTAGATAAATGTGAATGAATATTTTCACTGCATTCTGAGATTTCATAGTTACCAAACAAACACTGGGATTTTTTTTTTAGAATTAATGTCAGTTTGAACAAGCCCGTGACGTAAATTGGAGTTCTACTTTTTTCTGATGGAAGAAATGATTTAACATTACTTTTTACCTTGTATCATTTGCCATTAAAGCTGGTTTATACCTTTAAGTGAGCTGTAAGTTTCTTTTAAAGTATGAAATACATGGGATGAAAATTAAGGTTTAGTTTATCAGTAAAATGAACAAAAAGATTGAGAAATTTGTGTTAAATCTTAAGTGTATTCTTTATCTAGTAATTGACAGTTAGTTAAAGGTTACAGGAAAGTAATATAGAAGTACAAATTAAGTTATTAGGGCTTTATTATCCTCATTGAATCAAGCCTCCTTACCACCAACTTCCTTCCCAATTTAAGAGTATTGCCACCTGAAATTAAACTTCCACGTTTCAACAAAGCCCACTTTAAAGTGATGATCTGAGAGAGTGATGTTTATGTTCAGTTTTTACTGATTTTTCCCTCCTGGCACATTTCAACAAAGTCCAATTAAAGTGATGCTGGAACAGTAATCTTAATGTTCAGTTTTCAGTGTTTTTCTCCTTTACAGTCAGTGATTTTTTCTGTCAATGTGGTTACATTTTTCAATTATTTTACTTATGTGACCTTTTATATTGTGTGAACAATAAACAAATCCTCCAGCATTTAAATTGGAGAGATATACTCATTGTAGTTTAAGTTTGATTGATGATACAGCTATTCATTTATCATTGCTCATTCATTTTGTGATGTATTTTTAAAAGATTAGAATTTTTGTTTTCAGCAAAAAGAGCAAGAGCTGATACAGAAGAAGTTAGATGAGCAGAGAAATATTGCTCAACAGAGATGGCTGGCCGACAACTTTACACAAGATGGAGAAACTGGTCAGTTCTCATTTAGTTTTATTTGTGATGTTCATGGAAAGAAAGAGTGTATGTTCATTTAGGTTTTTGAAGGCAATTTCAAGTAAATGGCTATTGTTATATAAATGAGAGTGCAAAATTTTTTAAGTCCCCCAAAAGAGATTTTATGTTATAATAACTGTAGGTAAAAGGATTTAACTCCTGACCCTTGGATTTGTAGCCAGACATTATTTCCACTGCAATATATGCTCCAGTTATAAAAAAGGGATCATTGATAGCACTAGTGTGTTAAATTTATACAAGAACTAATATTGCCATTGCTACAGTTTTAAGACACTTATATGTACATTACAATATATAGCTTTCAATGGACTGTTCCCACAAATTTAGTAGGTGAAGGGTTAAAGATACAGTTTGTTTGGTTTGATCAAAAACTGTAATAATATCTAAATATCTGTAAGTTATTGATTTCTGATGTTGTCATGGGAGTCAGGTTGTAATTTCCTGATCTGTTGACATTTGTAAGAACTTTAGATGGAGTAAGACAGTAAGACAGTAAGACAAACTTTATTTATAGTCGGTTATGATTAACAGTACAAAACATAAGCTTTAAGCTTGTATCCGACATGAACAAAATATAGAAAATAATAATAAGAAACAAAGAAACAAAAACAAACAGACACCATAAGATAATAATACATACAATTAATTTATATAGTCATTGTAATGAAATCTGAGCATTTACAATGAAAATATAGTCATATCTATTAACAGGGTTTTACATATATACAGATACATAGTACATAATTCAAGGAAAAGACTGGAGTAGTAGGATGGGCCTAGTAGTTGGCATATATGCGCTACTTTAGTTATATTACATATATGATATTGAAAAATTATCAGCTGTCAGTATGTACATCATGATGTGTTAATTTTATCTGACATCAAATTATCATATAATATTGATCATTGATATTACGTAGATAATATAACACAATCATGATAAGATTTGTGTTGAGATGAAACTCGAGGTGTTGTTTCACCTATATTTATTGAAATACCTAAATATCATATAAGTTTTTAACTGAAACAGAAGTACTTATGCTGAGTGGCAGCATGACCGAGTGGTTAACATGTCAGACTAGTAATCTAAGGATTGCTGACCGCGGAGGTTCAAACCTTTTGAGGGGCAAGCCGTTGTTTCCTCGAACAAGAAACTTTACATTCGTTGCTTAGTACTGGTTGCTTCCAGGAACAGTTTCAAGAGTGTCAAATAAGCTTATAGGTTTCAATATAATCAAACTAAAATAAATTTGTATAAACTAAGTCAATTACTCATTTACATGATCGAGCCAGATTAATGATTAACATAGTTGAACAGTATATTTTTTGTTACTTTTTAAACACTGGATACTTGATACTGATATTTGTTACTTGTCAACTTTTTTTTAGTGTGAGTGGAGAACTTGTAATATGATAATAGGCTGGCCAGATATCATTATAATAGCTCAATTGTTGCAGAAAATCCCCCATGTTTCTTAAGGATTGAAATATTCATATTATAATAGTCGGTACATAGCCATCAAAGCAGTCATTTGAAACTAATTGCAAGAATGTTCACATATTTTTGTATTGTTGAAGAGGACTAAATCAGTACAATATTCTGAATAATGGATGTTGTCACATAACTTAAAATACATATATCACTCCGATAAAACATCTTAAGTTTGAAATTTTCTAATTCAAAATATGAATTTCTTTTTCTAAAGACACTTAAAGTTTATATAATCTATGCCATTTTTGTTTGTTTTATTTTGGTTTTTGAACATATCGAGAAGAAAATGTTCAATCTTTTCATTAAGACATAAAGCATGTAGAGGAAATTCAAGATTGCTATTCTTGAGGCTTAATTGGTTTAAGTTGAAACATAATTATATATTCTGTAAAATAAGTGTCTTTAATTGAAATAAAGTAAATGGCTATTCTAATAGTATGTATTTTAGAGGATTTAATAATTGTTAAAACCTAGTTAAACTTGACCCATCAAGTTAACCTTGCTTTTAAGGATTTTAGTATATAATGTTATATTATTAATATGTTGAAAATGAGCAGTTTATACAGTTTGGCTGTATTGCCTTCAAGCAGGGATTTTCTCACTTAATTGGGAAGAGGTTTTGGCCTCTTGATTTTGGGGAAAATTAACACAAAAATTGCTAATTTTAGTAGAAAATAAGCTGGTGCAAGTTCAGATTTTTGGGAAAACTGCATGATTTTCAAGAAAATTTGTAATTTGGGAAGAGGCCCGTTATAGGCCTGTGATATTTAAGGGAAAATTACTGCATGGTTGTATACAATTTGGTCTGTGACGCTAAAAATGCTTCCATGAGCAAGTTATTAATGTCATTAGCGTAACACAGAGTTCAATGTTCACATGTACACAGTGTTTATTCTTATATTCTAATTTTTTTTTAATGTTTTCTATCTTTTTTTAGCTCACCTGAGCAATGCTCAGGGTGAGCTATTGTGATCGCCCTGTGTCCGTCGTCCGTCGTCGTGCGTCCTGCGTTGTGCGTCGTGCGTCGTCAACTTTTCACATTAACAACATCTCCTCTGAAACCAATGACTGCACATCAACCAAACTTTGCAGAAATGATCCTTGGGTGGTCCCCTTTCAAAGTTGTTCAAATGGTTCCGGTCTGTTGCATATGTAGGTCACAGGGCCAGAAAAGGATTTCAAAAAACACAAAATTAAAAAATCTTCTTGTCTGAAAGTAAATGGCCTAGAGCTTTGATTTTTGGTATATGGTATCATCTATGGGTCCTCTACCAAAGTTGTTCAAATTTTGTCCCTAGTGTCAAAATTGGCTCCGCCCCGGGGGTCATAGGTTTTTCCTTATATGTATATAGTAAAATCTAAAAAATCTTCTTCTCTGATTTGGCAAAGGCTACAGATTAGATATTTGGCATGAAACATTGTGTAGTAGACCTCTATCAAGATTGTTGAAATAATGGCCCTAGGGTCAAAATTGGTCCCGCCCCGGGGGTTCATTGATTTTTATTACATACATATAGTGAAAACTTGAAAAATCTTCTGGTCTGAAAGTAAATGGCCTAGAGCTTTGATTTTTGGTATATGGTATCATCTATGGGTCCTCTACCAAAGTTGTTCAAATTTTGTCCCTAGTGTCAAAATTGGCTCCGCCCCGGGGGTCATAGGTTTTTCCTTATATGTATATAGTAAAATCTAAAAAATCTTCTTCTCTGATTTGGCAAAGGCTACAGATTAGATATTTGGCATGAAACATTGTGTAGTAGACCTCTATCAAGATTGTTGAAATAATGGCCCTAGGGTCAAAATTGGTCCCGCCCCGGGGGTTCATTGATTTTTATTACATACATATAGTGAAAACTTGAAAAATCTTCTGGTCTGAAAGTAAATGGCCTAGAGCTTTGATATTTGGTCTATGGTATCATCTGAAGGTCCAATACCAAAGTTGTACAAATTTTGTCCCTAGTGTCAAAATTGGCCCCACCCCGGGGGGTCATAGGTTTCTAAATATGTATATAGTAAAACATAAAAAATCTTCTTCTCTGAATTGGCAAAGGCTACAGGTAAGATATTTGGCATGAAACATTGTGTGGTAGACCTTTACCAAAATTGTTCAAATAATGGCCCTCGGGTCAAGATTGGCCCCGCCCTCGGGGGTAATTGATTTTCATTATATACATATAGTGAAAACTTGAAAAATCTATTGGTCTGAAAGTAAATGGCCTAGAGCTTTGATATTTGGTCTATGGTATCATCTATAGATCCAAAACCAAAGTTGTTCAAATTTTGTTCCTAGAATTAAAATCGGCCCCGCCCTGGGGGTCATTGATTTTCCTTATATGTATATAGTAAAAACTTAAAAAATCTTCTTTTAAAGAACCCAAAGAGCTAGAGCTAAGATATTTAGCATAAAACATCTTCTAATGGGTGTCTACCAAGTTTGTTCAAATAAAAGCACTGGGGTCAAAATTGGCCCCGCCCCAGGGGGTCATTGATTTTCCCTATATGCATATAGTAAAACTAAAAAAAATTTCTTTGAAAGAACCCAAAGAGCTAGAGCTAAGATATTTAGCATGAAACATGTTCTAATGAATGTCTACCATGTTCGTTCAAATAAGAGCCCTGGGGTCAAAATTGGCCCCGCCCCGGGGTCATTCATTACCTCGACTTTTTTTTTAGATATATACATATTATATATATACATACATATATATATATATATATACATATTATATATATATAAATATTATATATATATATCTTATATATATATATATATATGTATATATATATATGTAAGGAACCAATATTGTGTATATATATATATATATATATATATATATATATATATATATATATATATATATATACACACACACATATATATATATATATATATATATATATAATATGTATACATATATATTTATATATATATATATATATATATATAGACATAAAAAATCTTCTTTTAGAAAACCCAATAAGCTAGACCTTAGATGTTTAGCATGAAACATCTTCTAATGGGTGTCAACCAAGTTTGTTCAAATAAAAGCCCTGGGGTTTAAACTGGCCCCGCTCCGGGGGGCCTATATACAGGTGAGCGACTTTGGGCCATCATGGCCCTCTTGTTTACTACAGTGTTCGAAATTAGCAGTAGTCCGATAGTCCCTGACTACTAAATTTCTATTTGGGCTACCAACTTTTCACAGTAACAAGCCCGACCAGGCTACTGTAATTTCAGAGGCAATATAAACAACTGTTTTGAACAAATGAATCGTGCTAGTGAAATGTCTTTTGGGCTAGTGAATATTCCAATCTGGCAGTCCAACCAGCCTAGTCAATTCAAATCCTAATTTCTTACACTGTTACTAGAGAACTATTTGATTTTGATAGACTTTTTCATTTACTTTTAGTAATTTCCAGTATAAATTGAACACAAAATTCAATTTAAAACAGACAATTTAATAATGGCATACCTTTGATCTGTAAGTGATATAAATAAAGATGACTGTTGTGGAAATAATAAATTTGGCTTAAGTAGAAATTAAATTTGTAGCTGTTAAAAGCCTGTAATTTACTTTTTAATACATACTTACCACAAAAATTATCTTTCATTTTTCATCTGAACTCTTTTTATCTTTCAAGCGAGTACAAATTTTAGTGATGAAATTTTCTGTGTAGTTTGTAAGTATTTTAGTAATTATACAAGCTGTTAAACTTAACCTGAAATTTCGTGAAAATAATATCACAATGCACATGCTTTTTATAAAAAGTTATTAAATACAAATATAATAACACATTTGTTTACTTGATTTTTACGAATCAAAATAAAACTAATTAACACAACATGAAATTAACTGCTAATAATAACAGCTCCTTCCATAGGCAAAAATAAAAAGCGTTCCATAATAGACGACGCCGCTCACCGGCGTCGCCAATAACAAAATATAGTTTTGTAGACAAGAAACTTGCAAAAAAATCTATACAAACATTTTACAAGAAAAAAAAGCAAAGCAATTAATTGCTGACATAATTAGGCCACCCAAGGACTTGATGAAAGAAAGAGTAAAAACAAAACACAAAAATCTGGGGGGGAGGGGCTTGCCTTATTTCTGATTTATTATCAATTCTATAGAATTCCTGCAATGAAAATGTAATCTTGCTTTGATTTCAGATCACAAAAGTTTGACAATCTGTCTATTTCTGTATTAACAAGGACTGTACTAATACAGGTTAACTGTCAATCAAATAACTGGTCCGTACTTACCAGATTTAAAGATATACAGCTATTATCTGATCTAGAATGCATTAACATCAACCAATTATTGTGATGACTTGGTCATCCGAAGGTTTACACTCTGTAGGTTTTATGTCTCCTGATTTATGGGTTGTGGTTAAGACCCGCAGGGAATGTAGCGTTGAATTGCCTAGTCATGAGTGGGAATCTCCCTTGAGCTCTGTTTTAAAGTTTAATATCTTTGTTCAGTGGGATCAGTAGCATGTGAGTGGATCAGTAGAATTTGAAATTAAGGAGAGAATGCAAATAAATTGAATTATTTATGTTTCCCTTTCCATAATTTTATAATGTGTTTAATAGTATGTGGTCATATAACATATTTTGTAAGATTTCTTGAATGATAAAAAAAAAATATGCCTATTGTGTACATGCCAGACTTTGAAGGCTAATCACTGAAAGATGGGTTTGCAATGGGTTTGCATGCTGCATAGCCAGATTGTTAGATACTGTTTTAGGATAGATTGACAAGTAGCTCAGATAATTTGAAACAAAAATGGGTATGAACGCTTTCTGTCAAAATACATATACCAAATATATATATATATGAAATTATGGCCAAAACATACACATACCAAATATATATGTAATTATGGCCAAAACATACACCATAACTTTTGAAATGTTTCTCTTTGATAGGAGTAGATAAGCTGTAATTAAGATGGCAAAGTATCCTTGTAAATTTATTTTTAAACAAAGTTTTGCGCTCTGTATATTTCAGGAGAGTGGGTTCCAATGGGTGGTTCTCAAGTACCCCCTCCAGCACCAGAAATTTCCAATGTTGGAAATGGTCCGGAGCAGGTCAGTTTAACTATTTATTTTCTCCTGTATATAAATAGAAAGTTTCTTTTCTTTTAATACAATCTAAATCTCTACTGAAAGTGATGTTTGATATTCATTAAACTCTGTATCTTAAAACATTTTGATAATATTTTAAATTTTGTGGGTTAATATTTCAGTTCATGTCAAGTTTTGACAGCATACCTATGATGGGAGATGGTATGCCCCAGGAGAACAACAATTACTCTGTAGCCCCACCCCCACCCCAGTATCAGGGACCCCAGTCCATCCATCAACACCCACCACAGGTTAGTAACATGCAGGTGAAAAGAAGGATACAAAAAAGTTAACATTTTGAATATTGAAACAACCACAAAAAGTTCAATTTCAAAACATGTTTTGTGGAATGTAAATTGCCTTTCATGCATGGCTAATGGCAGTTTCACATCCAATTAAATCATAGTGATTGGTATTAATTATTATGACTAATCAATCAGTTATGATGTCAAATTATGAAGAATTTTTTTTACCAAGTCTGTATGAATGCACAATTGTTTACCTGTCAGTCTTTACATCCATTAACAGATAGGCGTTGGTGGGGCAATATGACATTGAAATTTTTATACATCTAAGCTTTATTTAAAGTAAGAGTGATGTTCAATGAACCCATTTTAGTTATTGATGTAGTTTTTTTCTCACAGCAAAGAAAAGATGACGCATAATTAAAGGACAAAATTTCGTAGCAAAAAGTATCGCAACTCTGAAGTTTGGTTTTTTTGTTTTAAATTTTATGGGCTGTACAAATTGGAGGATGTGGCAGTTTTTTTTCCTGCAACAGATATTTGTCTGTATCTGACCTTTAAGGGAATAGAAACCGTTTGTATGACCAAACATTCTGCTTTTGTTCATGTGAAAATCACACAAAAAAGACCTACCTGGTATTTTTGTATGACTCCTTGTTAAAATTTAGACTCAAAAAATCTTCTCATTTTTTTCTTATATTTCATAAAGGAAGTACAGGTCTAAAAAAGACATAATGGGAGGTTTTCAGTCAAAATGACTCATGTTTCATGCCTTTTTTATTGTTTAAAAGTATGGAAAAGTCATTAAAGATTTTAATCATAAAGATAAGAAAAAAGTGAATGTTAAAGGTGGAAATTTTAGACTGTTGTCACCTTTATAATTTTCTTTTATCAAATTATGTCATATGAAATTCAGATTTGAGTAAATATGTCCTTAGTCCAACCTTTGTTACTAGATTATTTCATTTGTATTATTGTTGTTATAAAAGTGGTTCCTTATGACTTGTATACTTAAAGGAACTCCACTGAGGTTTATAAGCCAAAAACCATAAAATTTTAACTTCTCACATAGATCAACTGGTGCACCTGAAACGGAATTATATACACAAGATCATTAAGAAATATACCTAGAAATACACTGAAAATCGTATGTCCGATTTGAGTGAAAAGCATTTAAACGCTTTTCAATTTTAGGTCATTTTTGACAATTAAAACAATTATTCTGGAAAAACAAAGCGAGCTAATGATCTGAAATTTTGCACATAAATTGTTGGTATAGACCTACATCAGATGGAGTTATAATCTCAAAAAAATATTTCCAGTCCCGTCATGTCAAAAAACCTCAGTTAACATACAGATATTAATGTTGTTTTTATATAAATGTTAATTATTTCAGCCGGTATATAATGCCAACATGGGACAATACAATCAGCAACTCAACAACAGTAACATGACATATGGGCCACATCCTCAACAACAACAACCTGTTCAATGTAACATGGGCCAGGCATTCCATCAATCACAACAACAACAGTATAACAACACAGGCAACTTCACCAACCATCAACAACATAACTACACTCACATTCAGGTAGGTTGTCAAGATTAAAATTGTGATTTTTTTTTTGCGAAATTTGGATACGTTATTTGTTAGAAGAAGCACCCTTATAAGGTCTTATACCCATTATACCTTATGCTTAGTTTGTTTGATTTTGTAGGGAGCTGTAAGTCTATATTTGTTCCTGGAACCTTTAAATACTTAGCAATGAGTGTAATATTTCTTGCTTGAGCCTTGACGCAAGTAGATAACTTATATGCGTACATGTCAAAATTTATGCATATAGGGACGCAGAATTCTGTGTCGCGTAAAACCCTGTTGAGATAACGACAGTTTGCCCCTGACACAACCACTTAATACAGGTGTTACCCACTTTGCCACACGACCACTTTATACTTATTGTGTCTTTGTAAGCAAGAATGTTAACATTTATTGGCTATTAACATAATATTTATATTATATGTAAGAACTAGAACAAACATATTTTGAGTTTGCTTTGTTAATTTACATCTTCAGAATATGTCCCAAACTCAACAACAGCAAGGCCAGAATTATCCCCGTCAGAGTAGCCTGGAAGCCACCTGGCAGGATCTAGTGAACATCCTCGACCTGCCGCCAAATAACCAGTCTCGCCTGGCTAACGCAAACCAAAGACTAATGAATGGAACCGTGCCAAATTCAGGAATGCCGGCAATGCAAAATACAAGTTCCATGTTGATCCAAAATGCCACCATGCCAACTCCTGCACCAATGAATGGCAATGTAACTTTTAATAATTCTGGTAAGTTTGTTTTTTTTGTTGACAGCTCTATAGCGAAGATTTTCTTATGAAAAATTTCAAGATGTTTTTCCCTTTTCTCCCAATAAAAGAGACAGAAAATGCAGTATTAGATTGTCTTTCACGCTATGTTGCAAAACTGATGGGGAGAAAAAGGGCCTCTCACATAAGTCTGTAAGCTCTAATGTTTATTTGAAGTGATTATAATATAATCAGTAAGTAAATGATTTTCTTGCAACAAATAAGTCATTTAAAACAGGGTTTCATTATAAACAGATTGCAATCCATATCATCAGTTAAAAATCTGTTGTATTTTCAACTTGTAGATTAAAATGCCCCCTTGACCCTTGGCCAGATTGGTTGTTTTCATTGCCACATCTGTCACCTCATATAAAAATAAAAACCCTGTCCAAAAACTTTTGGGGGTAATTTGATATACACATAGCTCAGAAATTCAGAAACTAAGTGCAACTATGTCCAAAATTTAGTGATTCACTTGTACTTTCTACATAGGACAAGTCACATTTTGATGTTTTTGTGTTTCTTATCTAATCTCAACAATTATGAAGATATATTTTATATATTACAGGTATGGTATCTCAATGTCATAGATCACCACCTCATAGTTCAGGCATGATGTCACCGTGTGGGGAGAACTTTAACTCCAGCATGCCATCAGGTAGTGGCATGGGTTCATTAGACTGGGAGAGCTGCGGGGACTTGATTTTCCCCAACATCACATCAGACTTGAACGAGCCCGAGGATCCAATTGATGATGTGGATGAACTCTTGCCCGACCTAATTACTGAAGATGAACTTGAAGACATTAATTTCTCAGAGATGGGCCTCACTGATGGTATGTTCAAATGTTATCTTTTAACAAATGGACAAAATTTACGACCAACAAAAAAAAAAGAAACAAGAATGTATGTTTCATATACTGATGAACAAATAGGCTATCAGCTTGTTTGTAAATGAAATCTCAATTAGAAGAGATTTAAAGGGGGTGGTGGCCTAGTGGTTCGGCTGTCTGTCTCTCAACTCATGGATCATGGGTTTGACCCCTAATCGGGTCATGACCATGTTTCTTCATATGATCCCAGTACTGGTTGGTTCCAGGAAGCGGATTTGAAAGTGATTAATATAAGTTGTAAGAACTTGTTTTGCAATCAGGCTAAAATAAATATGTTTAAATTAAACCAATGAGAAGAGAAAGTCGTTGTAACTCTTATTATTGTGAGATTTTAATATGACATTAGGTTGTTTTCGTTTGTTTTCCTTGACTGAAAATCAAACTTGATATTAGATATTATGTAATAACATAATTATTAATTGTTTACCTGGGTGACAAAACATTTAGGGTGCAAAATGTTACAAGCAAATGCAATTCATTACATATGCTTAGTTGATTTAAAATTCATACCAAACAATAGACAGTATTCATTAATAAATCATAAGGTAATTAATCATATGAATTGACATTTTGAATGTGGACATGTTTTGATTTCTTTTCTCTAGCAGTGACTCCGACTCCTACAGGAGGCTATGGTGGTGATGATGCCAGCAGTGACTCCGCTGTGTCCATGGGTAGCCAGAGTGACACGTCACCTGATATGGTAACTTATATTAACATATACATTCCTTTTATGATGAACCAGGAAATGGTTATTGCCTTTTTATATATGATATTTTTAAAGCAATGTTGTCTGTAGCTTATAAAGTAGCGAATGAAATTCTGAGTGTAATTAGTGGGCAAACTTGCAAATAAAGCATTTTAATTATGGTTTCGCATACATTGAATTCCACAGTAGTCCGTGATTTTTGAGTCTTGGTCTTGCAGTAGAGAACTGTGACAGAATAAAAAAGTAGATTTTCTGTATGTTTTGTTGGTCTTATTCTATTTACAACAGTGTCATAATCAATGGACAGAGTCAGTTTTGTAATGTTTGAGGTAGCATATTGTGTGCCCAAGGCCTTATTGAAATTCAAGCCATTTATATTCAAGAAATATTATTTAGTATTGCATGTTATATGTCATCATTGCAAATGGTATTGATAAAACATGCACTGAAAGGATGTTTTTTTTTTTTAAAGTATTTTGTCCTTCATATATCCATTTATTTGAATATATATCAACAAATATCTTAAATTTATTGTTGTTGTTTTCAGAATGATTTCAGTGACAGTGCTCTTTCTCCTTATGATGGTCTAGAGGGAGCCACTGGTGGCCATGAGGCTTCACAATTTCCAAAAACGTCAAAGTATGACCCTGATGATTTCAAATATGGTAACTCATGCAGTTACAGTAGTGGTGGCGAAAGTAACGGTTCCAACTTCAGTTCATCATCCAACGATACTGGTGGCAGCGGCCACTTTAGCCAGAGTAATGGTGGGGGTTGTTTCAGTCCCGGAGGTCAGGGTCATATAAACCACAATCATACATACCCGCTCAAACCTGGGGCAGAACCTAAAGACTATTCTAAAAAGAATGGGTATAACAATAATAAAGAGGGTAGGCATAAAGGGCCACAATCTAAAGACCATAAGAGAATTATGGAACTGAAAGTCCCATTTTCTGTTGATCAAATTGTCAATTCACCAGTCGAGGAATTCAACGAAATGTTAACACGTCACAAGTTTAATGACCAACAGTTACAACTTATCAGAGACATACGTAGAAGGGGTAAAAATAAAGTGGCTGCGCAAAATTGCCGTAAAAGGAAGATAGGGGTTATAGAGCATTTAGAGGACGAAATGACCTCAATGGAAAAATTTAGAGACAAGTTGTTACATGAGCGTCATATGATGGATAAGCAAACGAGAGAAATGAAAGAAAAGTTGGGACTTTTGTATTCAGAAATATTTCACTCGTTACGGGATGACCACGGGCAGCCTTATGATCCTGCGCGTTTTTCACTACAACAGTCCAACGATGGTGATGTTTTTCTAGTGCCCCGAAATTACACAACAGAAGATGAACATAGTAAGAAACGAAAAGAAGAACGGAAGTGAATGAATACTGAAAGCATTTAAGTGATAAAAAAATCAAGACAATTGTGATTAATATTGAGCAATTGAAGTGCTTAAATTATTCCTGTAGTTATGCAGCATTGGGTTAAATAGAGACAAATTACACGTGTACATATTTATTGGTGATATATTTGTACAAGGTATATGTCAGGTTTGTTGATAACTCTTTCGATAGGAATATTTCTAAAAAAGAATGGGTTTCTTTCAGGGTGCTAGACAACGATATGCTAAGATTTCCATTATTTTGTTTGTTTAGAGGACAAGTTAGTTGTAACAACTTGTTAATATTAAGTGCTAAGAACTGTGAATCAGTCTAAAAACATTTTTTGCATTTCATTGTAGATGTTTTAGTTTATTATTAACATATCATTTAAAGCCTTTCTCAATTTTGCGTGTTTTTTTCTTTCTGATTGCTAGAAATGATGCTTTGTTTTTTACATTCACTATCGCCATGGATACATTATTAACTTTCATTTCATTTCGTATCATGTTTTCTATGCTGCTCTTGAAATCATAAAACATATTGTGCATATTTCTTCCTGTACTACTGTAACTTGTTACAGGCATTGAAATTTCAGAAATTTCCATATATGGTCATCTAATATTCCTGCGCATGTCATGAAATTTCCTTAACATTTGTTACAGCAATGAGTTTTAATTTCCAGATATTGAACATCTACTTCTGTAAGGAAAGATATTGCATTTGTTTTTTGTCATCCTATTTATTTGCTTTTGAACACAAAGAGTTCAGTTTTGTCATTTCTCTTTCCTTACAAATTTTCAGGGATAAATATGCTGCAAAAACATTTACTTTCAATTGTCAAAACATTCCATTAGTTAAATCATCATCTGATGCATATACAGCACTTATGACACATGCAAGGGATTTTCATAAGATTTTACAAATGGAAAACCAGGCTTTCAATGGTTTCTTTCTTAATGTTTGTAGTTATTTATCGAAATAAATAACTTACTTTTTGTCAAAAAGAAAAAAAAAGAAAATTCTTCTGCATTTCAAATATAAGTTAGTAAAACATTCCATATCCATTGTTAACACTCATTTATTCAGCTTTTCAGTACAAAACTTTCTGTACGGATCTAAATAATATCTTTATCTAATTTATATACAAAATTATATGCAAAAAAAACTTGTACTGTAAATATAACTATTTCATAAAAAAGTAAATTTGGGAAAATTTCCTTGCATATAATATCTACAAATGTTGTTTTTATGTTTGTAGTGTATATGGAAAGTATGTTGTGTGAGTTCTCGTATTTTTCCTTTTCTATTGCAGTCTTGTGACACACTATAGCATGTATGTAGATAAATGAGAAATCAAGATTTTTAATGCGGAATTTTTAATCAATACTGGATATCTCTATTTCTCCTCTATATGCAGTTTCAAAGAAAACAAAGTAATACTGACATGTAAATTAATCATGAAAGGCTGTTGTGTAGATACTGTTAATTGTTGTATATTGAAAATTGTTGATTTTTGTGTTTAAACATTGTTTGGCAGAAATTCAAACCTGGTTAACATGAAATATTGATGGCCTTTGTTGATTTCAATAATTGTTTGAGTTTATGGAAATACACTTGGGAAAATATGCTCCGTTTAATTTAGATATGATATACAATTCATTGACTTTTTCATATAAATAATGATACAATATACACCTAATTAGGAGAAAACAAAGAAAGTAAGTTTAGGCCCGGCATGCAAGTTATAGAATATCAGTTGTGTGAAGCTTCTATTATCCAGCAATCTATATAATAAAAGATATAATTTTGTATTTAAAGAAACAGCTCTGGCAGTAACGTGTTTTCAGATATAAAATATTGCTGTTTTAGATACTGAAGACTTTTTATATAACCTTATCTTAGCAATAGTTCACCCGTTTAAAATTTATTTCAAGCGTGTAAGGGGAAAAACATCACATTTTGGACATTGATACATCAATAAAGAAATTAATTGCTAAATTTGATACAGCAGCCTATATTTTTGTATGCATAATAAATACTGAGATTACTCTAACAATGAAATTTTATATCCAAATTTTCTAATTTCACATAAAACATACAGTGTGTGTCATAGATATAAAACTGTTGTTTTTTTACAAGAAAAATCTGTTTTGATAATGGGAGATTTATCTAAATAAGGGAGAATTTGGTGACTCAGAATTGACCCTATAACACTACAAGATACATCATTTTTATATAAACTCATTTCTATGCATAATGTTGAAATCCATGCAGTCTGATATTTTCTCCTGTCACGCCATCTTTATATTTACAACCCATATCATAATACTGCAAATCATAAAACTTTATACGCATGCATGGGTTCTCCCTACATTTTACCTATTGATAAAACATTTGATAAAATGTTTAAATACAACAGTTACTGTAATTTTGACGTTTTTATTCCCTGTTAAAGTTCAGTAGTATTAGATTCATCAACAAAAAAATGTTAAGAAAATAAAAGTCTTAATATTTTATTGAATATAACCCGGTAAATTTTAAATCAAAAACTGTTTTATTTAAGGTTTTAACTGTCATCTTTCGATTTCTTCCATAGACACTTCTATTTCAATATGAAACATCTGGTGTTTAATTTGAAAATTTATGGATTTTATATAATTACAGAAAATACCTTTCGAAAAAGCTACTTTCCATACATTATTACCTAATAATTGTAAATGCTCTCAAATTTTAGTGCAAAATTTTGTTTCTCGTAATAAAAGCTTGTTATTTTACTCAAAATACTAGGCTTTGCTGAAACTATAGTTTCATTGTAAATCATTTTAGTAAATGAAAAAAAGCATTATTTGTAAATTTGTTCTTTTGTAAATTTAAAAGAAATTTAAGATTTTATAGGTTGAACAATAGAGAGAATATTATGTTCTTTGTTTCTTCTATGTACTATATTTTGATTTAAATCAAGTACTTCTTACAATAATGTTTTAATTGTATGTTAAAACAGAGATTAGTTACTATTAAATCTGAAATGTTTCTTTGCCAAAAGAAGACAAATTCAGCTGAAGTACTGAATATTTCAGTATACATGTATTATAATAAAGTCAAAAACATTGGGTTTTTTTTTCAAGTACTGTTTTATAAGAGACAACTTTTTGTCAGTTTAATCATTGTCAACATTAGTATATATTTTGATTTACATTTCATGAATCTCGCTACACGAGACAAATGAGAGATGTGTAATTTATAAAACAGAATTGCAATAGCCTTGGTTTCTATTTTTTATGTTTTGCATGTTTGTTAAAGAGGCGTTCTATCTCTCCTCCGTTATTACTGTTACTGTTTTTGTGAATACTATATATTATGATGAAATAAAAAAAATATCAAATTATATTAATACTTGTTTTGTATTAGTAATTTATATTGTTTACAAAAATACTCCCTGTTTTTCAGTCAAGTTGTTTCGGCTTATAGAATCTGTAATGTTTTGACGTACATATAGTACTGGTATATTCAACAACTTTGTTGTATGCAGTGTGCAAACCAAAGAAATAACAGGTCTGTTCTGTCCATGTTTGATTTTGCAGTGATTACATTGCCCAATTATAGTGCTGCTTTACTGAATTCCATGCTCAAATGACAAGACCTAAAACTATCACACCTAGAACTATCACCATTAAAGCATTGATAGAGTCTCTAACATACCCGAGGACCGAACCAACGGAGTTTTATTACTGTCATTAAAAGAAGTCAGCTGATGGTAAATGAGTTAAATTATATTTCTTATGTGCTGCCATGTATACATACCGTTTATCATACTAAATAATTCAAAAGGACTTGTCCATCTTAAACTCCTTACAAAACCATAAATACCAAACCATTAATCGTTTCAAAATACGGCGCGGTTTTGGTCTGCATTGGTCGCATGTATATAATCTGTTGAAAGGCTAAATATACATTGTAATATAAACTTCAGTAAATGATTACCGTTTTTAGATGCAATTTTTAGTAAAAGTTTTATGAAGAAATTTTAACACGGACATATTTGTATACTGTGCAGGTTCAATAGCCTAGAATCTCGTGGAGACAATGGTATGAAAATCGTTCGAACACAATTATTTAACACTAGCGATATACAGTATACTATAAAGTTTCTATCGTCGAGAATCATTAATAGCTCTTTAAACCCAGCTATTCACTAAACAAATACTATATAAAAAGCTTTTCCCATTTAGAAGGCTGAATAAATATTCAATACTTGGACTGTTACATAAATTTAAATTGAACATAGAGACGCTATTGTGCCGTTAAAATATTGAGATGTTTAATTAAGAAGTTTAGCGGATATTAAAACCGCTCCGTAAAATTTATGAGTTTGAGTTTTAAAGTATTGGGGGATTATCCGAATTTGTCTTATGTTTACTGAATATAGATTTAAACAGCTGATAAAACGAGGTTTTATTTGAAAATTGATAAGATGTTTATTGATAAAAGCAATTAAATGCCTCTAACATACATATGCTTTTTTCATAGCGTCTTTTTTGACAGATTATCTGAAAAAGAATCATTGACCGTTTGCCAGTTGGCTCTTGTCTCCTGTATAGTTTGAGATCTAGGCATTGTTCAATTGGCCTAATTTTCAAAACAAAAATTGGTTCAAGTGTTTTTAAAGATAAAAACTACATATATACACGTCATGATCATTTAATATTAAGATTACGCGGTTGGGTCGTTTACAAGATAGGACAATGTCGAACATACTGTGAAATATGGGTGTTACCTGTTGGTGTGAACCGCTTTCCATAGTTGTGCACACATTTAAGATACATTTGTAATTGACAAAATATAATAAAAGACTGTTAATATTAAGTGTAATATTAGTCGAGATAATGAGATTTTGTCTTTCTTTGTTGAACGATTTTGTTTATGTATCTTTGGTTATTACAAGCATGTGTGTGACATGTCATTCCAGTATGTGTGAACATGGTGTTCGTAACAGTATGACCATAATATATTGTGTATCAGTTTAGCTGTTTTTATGGCGTTTTTCACACTAAAGTACCCAGTGTAGCGGGTAGTGTGAAAATGTCGTAAATTTTATATACACGAATTAATAGATCACGGATCTGATAAATGAGTTTATATCCAATATGCCGCATTCTGGGATTCGACCCCCTTCCTACTACTAAAGTCCGTAGATAGTTATGGGTTTGTGGGTTTTTTCTTTGATATTTAGGTGGCTCTTCATGTACATTGAAGGAAATTAAGTATCTATCTATTTTTTCACATAAAAAAGGTTCCTTCTCTACTTAACAAAGGTTATGTAAAAAAGCTCATAAACCATTGGATGTTGGCCCGGACAGACCATTATTTATGAACTTAAAAGACTGGATTGTGTGAGTGTTAACTAGAGTGCCGCTTCATTTAAAAGAATACCGTAGACATTATACCTCAAGGTCACATTACACTGACACTAGACTGAAATTATTTTTGTACATCCCCATTAAGCGTGTGCAAAGTGACAAAGTCTCAAAAGAACTTTAGAACTTTTATAAAGATTTTCTGTAACACCCAGCTAGGGATCGAACCAGCGTTCACATTCAACAATTAGACTAACACTTTTGCAAGTCCGACAAATCAGAGATATTAATGTTCTTAGAAAAAAAAGTTAGTACTCAGAAAAATTGAAATTAATTTTCTTATGATATCAAACAGAATTCAATAAAAGTACATACTCAAATGTCAGTGTACTAATCAGATGGTCAGCTTAAAACCACTAGTTTTCATAAAAGCAGCGGTTACATAATCAGATGTAAGTTCACGCAGGATCAATTTTTACTTGTAATAAGAAATTGATTCCCATTGGAAAGCAAATAGAAAAATCAAATAGCTTTTGCCTCATTTATGAAGTCTATTTTACACTTTGTTTATATAATTCATACAAGCGTTAAATAACAGTATGCTATAAAAGGATAAAACACAAAAAAAAAAACATGTTTAAATAATATAAACAAACGGATATACATATTGACAGGGTGCAGTTATTCAAATATTTCCTCAGATCAATAGACAGGTAAGTTTGTTCAAATATGATCATTAAAATACTGGAAAAGTTTTGCACCGAGGTTCATGATTATTTTTTTTAACGAATAGAATATAAATATTGTTTGACAAGCTTATCTGATGTGACACTTGCATTCAAAGTCTGTAGGTTCATTAAGAAAATACCAGCAGGGTAAAATAATACCCAAACACGGGTTTAGCTGAACAGATGATATGTAATTGGACGGGTTTTATCCTCTCTGTTTGCAATATCTCCCAATATCTTATAGATATCTTTTGCGTATTTTTTGTCTCTTTATACAATTTATGAACTGTTCGATCGGTGAGATGAAATAGAAAATGCAATTAAAGTTTGTTATTTACCATCTGATCAAACTAGAATTACAAGGCAAAAGGTATAAATCTATAGCAAGGAACACTATAATATTTCCCTGTTGTAGCCATGCAATAGCTGGTCCATTTTTGCTACAATGTATTAAAAGAAAAATGTTCGAATATTCAACTGAGAGTTTAAGTTTTTATTTGTTTTTGTTATAATATATTTAGTTGTTAAGACAGTTTTTGTTCATTTATATATGGTGATTTATTTATGTGAGTAATAAAGTATCAGATTGGGTAACGAAGTGACAATAAATTTCTATTTCACAATTAAAAGCTGTGTTTAAACATAATTATACTTTTTTATATTTTGGTATTCAAATGGACCTGGTTACAATTGATAAGTGCTTTATAAAAGTTCATTACTCAAAATAAATAAACCACCACGATTTGTATTTTAATGCATTTACATTTATACACAGTTTTAATATTTCAGACACATTATTATATATAAGAAGTATCTTTGTATGATGTTGTATTATATTCGTAACTATACATGTATATAAGCTCCCTATAATTCAGAGTTAAGATTCGACTCCTGGTTGTTTAAAGTGCTCCTTTAATATACAGTGAAACATGTGTTAAAGACCACCGCCTGGTTGGCCTTTGTTAACAGGTTGGACTGTATACATAATATGTCACCCATAAATACCTTTACACCCCTTGAAAAATACGTTTTGGTTGAAATACCCAAGTATTCATCCATTTCAGAAATATGTTTGTATCAATTAAGTATCAATTACGGTTTCTCAAATTAATACAAAAGAAATATATTGAAAATCAAGAAATTGTCACCAATTTATACATATTTAGTTACACTTTTAAATATATATACAATGTATAATATACTTTATATATATATTTTCATGGTTCTGTCGTTCTTTTGTTGGTAGTTTTTAAACAGCAAATGATAAACGAGGTATGAGCGGGAAAAGATACTTTATTGTCGCTTTTAATGTATCACAATCGGGTATTTTCAAGGTACCTCAGGGCGGGTCTTAATTATTTACATACTTTAAAATCAATTTTATTATTTCACGACATCGCGAACGGCTTCGCTCTAATTCTCTTCTGCTGTTATAAAAAGATGACATTGAATAATGTATGGCGGTATAATTGTCTAATGACATCTTTGATAAATTGGAAGCCAGTTCTAAAACTGAGATGGTTATCATATACTATTGTTTAAAATTCCAGGATTGCATGAGATATCGCCATTTATCGCCGTTCCTAAACATGTAAACTGACAAAGTTGAGCGTGAAGTGGGGGAAATTTGACATCAGGGCAAGTTTGCCGATTGTGACATTGCCAGAATAATGGCGTGTTTTAAATCTTTTCCGAATCACAATCATGTTCCTCTTTAGAGTTATTCAATGGTGTCTTATCATATGGCAAATCTTTCAAAATGATTAATTCATCCTATTTTAGTTGTACACAGTGCACTAATCTCGGTTAGGCTGTGATCAACATGCTTAGATATACATACACGCTGTCACATTATAGAAGATACTAAACCGTCAACTTGCTGCATTTATAAGGATTTTAATATTTAAAAAATATATATTTCAATTTAAGATAGGTTAAGGTTGAGACATACGTATTCAGTCAATCATTTCGACCACTAACAGATTCAGTATCTGACTATTTTGCTGTTTACTCATATGATGACCATAATGTTGATAACGACGAAGATAATGCTAACGACGAAGAATATGATGATGACGAAGAATATGATGATGATGACGAGAGTAATGATAACGACGGTACTGATAACAACGTAGATAATGATAAGGTCGGAGATAATGATAACGACGAAAATAATGATAACGACAAATATAACTAGAACTGCCACTGTCATGGCGTGAATACCCTCGCATACCACTTTGTCAGAATCAACAGTGGCCATTAAAAGCTCAAGGAAAACCTCACTGCCAAATCTGGGGTTACTA